AAAAATTTGGGCATCCCCAGCTATTTCTTCTTTTCCTCCTCTTCCCCACTCCTTCTTCTTTCTTCCTCCTCTTCTTTGGTGAAGTACATATTCCTGCTTTTGCACACCATCTTGTTGGCATGTTTTCTGGTAACAGATGAGCACCAAGAGAGGGGGCAAAAAGCTGCCTTTATCCAGCTGGTCCACAAAGCTCAGGCTTCGTCTTTGACTTTTAAGTAGACAGAAGTTTAGTGGAGTCTTGCTTAGTCAATATCTATTTGCTTGTTTAAGATTTAGAGTTTACCAAAGAACTTCACTTGGTCATTGCTACACAGGGAGCCAGGTATCAGCACAGCTACCATAGCTGACTAAGGGGTATTTGCCTAGAAATTGGCGGGGCAGGTTCCTTGGTTCTACTGGTCTTTCCAGACTAGATTTTAAAAAGAATAGATTCCTTAGAAAGGAAGGGGTGCGTTGTTCCTGAGAGCCAAAACCCCAGCCATGTTTGCCTCCTGCCCTTGTTAAGAAATGCAAGACATGTGATGACAGTAAGATGAAATCTAAAAGATGGGTTTGGACGGATGCCTGGGAGCCTTGGCCAGCGGGGACAGCAGTGGAAGACATAGTGTTCCCTGTGGGTAATGCAGCCGAAGAAAGCTGCCCACAGAGCACCAGGGGACAGTTCTTGATTTCTTGGCAGGGAGGAGAAGGGGCTTTTGTGCGGGTAGGAACTGCCTGCCAGTCAGCTATATTTATGGAGCACCTGCTGGGTGGGACTTGGAAAGGAAGAGAAGACAGGCCTTGTCCTCAAGAAGCTTGTGACCAAAGAGGGAAGAGAGGTCCCCAGTTACTGTAAATGTTTTAGCATTTCCCAGCGTCTATGAAATGGGAGAGGGGCAGGTGACCTTTAGGGTCTGAGACGCTGGGAGTGTTGACTGCGGACCTGCAGCACCAGCAGTGCCACAAGCCTGCTGGAAATGCAGAAGTTTGAGCGTGGCACTGACCTCTAGTCAGAATCCTGCTTTGACTGGGTCCTGTGCAGCCGGCAGTTTCTGAAGCTCTAGAGCCCATGGAAGCAGGGAGTCCTGAGTGTTGCGGAAGAGCAGAGGGATGAAGGGCGACAAAGCCAATGCTAACAGATAATCGCTTACCTGTGACTTCCTTAAATGTGGGGAGCTCAGCCATGTTTGTAAGCCTTTTGCTTTTATGATGGTTGGGTTCTCCCACCTACTCAGTGGGGTATGTGGGAATGTTGTTATTAATAAATGTTTGCTATAGAAGCAGTCAATGAATTTGGGCAAGATTAGGCATGACAGGGTCCATCTGAGACAAATTGAGAGAGAGACAGAGAGACAGAGAGAGACAGAGAGAGACAGACAGACAGAGAGCATTCTTCATTTTCTGAGTCACGTTCCTGGTTACCTATTACCTCCAAATTACACGAATTCTTTGTGTAAATGCCCCAGAAATGATGGGGAGGTTTTTTTCCCTCCCCCTTCTGTTTCAGCACAATGGATGACTGATCGATGATTGATCTACTTGTCTAACTTGTGCACTGCAATGCTAGCCCTGAATTGTACCCCCATTAGCAGTAGTTCCCACTGCACAGTTAGGGTGGAGGGGGGCTATCACATCTGTCCCATCCCTGGCTGCTTCCTCAGCCCAATTCCAAACACATTTTAGTACTGGGAAGTCCATAGTCCTGAAAACTAGGCAAATCCTTAACAGGTGCTGTATGTAGACATCTGTTTCTTGTTCAGGCGTGGCCAAGTGAAAACAACAGTAATTAAGAAAAACCGGGAAGTGGCGAGGCATAGACAGTGAGTGTGCTAACTCATTCCTTCCTGCCAACCTCCCTGAGGTAGAGGCTCTACTGTTGCTTCCATTTCCTCATGAGGAAACGGCGGCACGTTCCTGCAGGCAGGCCAGCATAAGAGGTCACGTGACCCTGACCGTGATCAGTATGAGGGGAAAGTGAAGTAATGATGTCGAAAAGTCCGTCAGCTCATTTCTTCTGCCTCCTTCAGAGCCTCTGAGAAAGGAAGCTCAGGCCCTGCTCTCGGTTCGCCCGATGGGAGAGGTATGGAGCCTCGCTTCTCTTCATGAACTGTGGGCCTGTAAGAGTTTCGGTTCCCATGTGGAAAGGGGTTACTACAGCTAAAAAGTCGATAGAAGTTAGTCCTAAATGCAACAGGCATCAGCAAGTGGTTGTGTTTCTTTGTTGGCTGCAAAGCAACTGGCTTTCTGTGTTCTTGGGAGGGCACATTTCCTTTCCAAGCAGGCATACAACTTTTGTTTCCACTTCACGCAAATGTCTTAGCGTCAATGTCCTAAGTGTCCCCACAGTTTGGACAATCTGCTACACCCAAGCCCCACTTGAACCCGAAAGAACTCTAGCTGTCCTTAGGAAATGTGCCTTGTGTAGTACGTGATAATCATGCTTGGAATCCCAGCACTTTGAAGGCTGGGGCAGAAGGATTGCAGTGTGGTCTGGACTGACCTGGGTTACAAAGAAAGTCTGAAGCTAGGCAGAGAAAGATCTTGTCTCAATAACAAAACTGAAGGCGCTATCAGCCTGATTCACCTTGTGGCTTGTACACAACTATCCATGAAGCCTTTCTTCATTCTTTTCTTACCAGTTTTTACAGATTTAATGCATTTTCAGCAATACATGGAGCAGCCATGGAGACAAGCATCATCCCTGTCAATATTTAATTGGGGAAGAGGTATACACATAACACTGGGACTGCTGGAAAATAGCTAAGCCATAGTTGATAAGAAGTGTATTATGATGTGGTCACAGACTGCCAGGGGAATGAGGAAGACCAGAGTGCCACATCCCAGAAGGCCTTGAAAGGAACCAGAAAGGTAGACAAAGCCTACGCATGTAAAACAGTAGAACAGGATAGGCCTAGTCAGGATCCCTCCTGGGTCTCGCCCTCCACATAGTCACAGAGGAAAGGCAGAGACCCCGCTGGGGAAAAGAACAAGGCAGTGACCTTCGGTAGCAGGAAAGTCTGAGGACGGACAGAGAATACAGGTCCAGGGTAGAGTGGCAGCTGCAGTAGGACAGAAGAGGAAGAGCAGGAAAATGCAACATTGGCGTTGAGTGCTAACCTGGACAGAGTAGCCCCAAGCCAGTGGGTAAGAGACGGAATAATGGAGGGAATGCTGGAGTACAATAAGCAGCTACTGGATTAACAGACAGGGAGCACTGTCTGTAGAAAGAGCCAGGAAGAGGTCCTGGGGCACGCAGCAGCCATGGTTCAGACCAAAAGATAATGTGTCAGAGAAACTGGCTCCCCACTCTGGTGCTCTGGTAGTCATCCATGTGGCTCAACAGCTCACGCAGAGCCGAGCTGTCAATACTGGGCTTCCATTTCTCCACTCTCATCTGTGAAAATAAAAAGGCGGAGCCTTTCATCTCCCAGTGGAAAGCAGCATTAATGACACTTTTTATGATGTGGTGGAGACACGAAAACATCCTTGTCAGTGGCATCTAAAGGGACATAAGTCTTTTCACTGTACTCGTGAATGACCTCACATCCCGCCACGTTAACTTCTGCTAGCATGTAAGGCTAAATACCTCTTCTCCATTGATATTTATGTAGCTATCCATCTGTCCATCCATCTACCTATGAATCTATCTATCACCTTCTCCTTCGTTAATAAATAGTAAAATACTTATTGCTCACCAGCATATTTGAAAATTTTTTCATACGAGTAAATTAACCAGTTTAAGTTTATGTCAGATAAAAACTATGATGTTTAGAAAAGATATTGTTGCACCCCACATCCCTGCATTTCTCATTTTCTGATTTCTATCATGGCATAATCTATTTGTTTTTTCCTAAGCCCACCCCAGCCTTCATATACTAAAGTCCTGTGCATTCCCACAGCCAAGTCACTGGGAGGCATCCTAGACATGGACATAAAGCTAAGATCCTATTGTCTGCCTAAAATACAACTTTCTCGTCTTTGGGTTTTATTTAATGATTTAGTGGGAAATGCTTTTAAAGGAGATCGTCTCCATCAGCAGCTTCCTCCTGTTCTAGAATGAAAGTATCTGCTAATTCTGGTGCCCATAGGAATCCCACAGGAATATCTTTATGCTCTTTCACCCTGGAATGTGCCTGTGGCTACCTGGAATCAGTGTGTTCTCTAACAGAAGGTCTTTAGCAGACTGCAGGGTCACACTGCTCCATTCTACTGCACATGCAAAGCCAGGTGTAAAACTTCAAACCCTGAGCTTCGGAACGCCTTGGTAAAGGCAGGTGGAAGCCCAGGGTATACAGGCAAAGAAACCGTCGTGGGGGGGGGGTTGATTCCGTTTCTCAGAGACCAGTACTTTGCTCTGTAATGAGATGGGAGCTGCAGAACCAGAGGACTTTGTTGTCACCACCTTGGTCCCTTTTCATTTGCAGCAAGGGAATCTCCTAAAGGGACTTCATCTCAAGCCCCACGGGATACGCTTGCCACCTGCTGGGTCTCGTTCCACCCTCGCAGCAGCCCTCCAATATCAAATCAGATACTGTGGCCATTTTTCCCAGAGTGGGGGAACCAAACTTAGCAGTTGTAATTAAATTCCAGATCTGTACATGGCTTGGATGAGATTTTGCTTGTTTTTACATTTTAAGACAGAATTTTGAATAGCCCTAGTTGTCCTGGAACTTGGTATATAGCCAAAAATGACACTGTACTCCCAATTATCCTGCCCCTGCCTGGAAAATGTGGGATTGGAGGTGGGTACCACCCATCCCAGCCTTGGATGAAGACCTACGTGTCAAGCATAGCCTGGATCCCCATCTCACCTGTGCTCTCTCCCACATCACATTTCGCCACCTGGGAAGGCCACTTAGGTCCTCGGTTTGCACCACACACCGAGAGGTTGTGTGTGCCTTGGGACTCTTGATGCCTCCTCTGATGCTTGGTCAACAGGCACAGGAAGATGCCGCCAGAATGGGACAGACCTTACCTTTGAGAGGTGAGCCTAACACTTCCATTTTCCTTTTCATTTCTAGAAAATGAAGTGTCAGCCCCAGCTCCTCCCCCAGAAGGTAAGTAAAACCATCCCCTCACGTGTTCGAGTGGCAAATTCTGAAGTACGTCCCAGCATGGTTTGGCCTCCATGGATGCTGTGAGCTTGAATCTATTTCTTACAAAGACATTGGATGGTGACACGTGTGATGAGTTGATAACAAAAATAATGTATAGTATATTAACCTAATTTGAACAGCACTTAATATGTATTGTAGAATTATTTCAGGTCCTTCATTTACATACAAGTTGTTGCCAGGCCCACGTTTTGTATTGGTAGAGGCAAAACATTTATGAAGCTTTCCCAGGTTCAGTAAAAGTTTGCATCTTTCTTGTGACAGTGGAAAATGGGTGCCATCTCACCCTGAAGCTCATTAGCTTCTCATCTTTGTCTATGTCACCATCAGTCACCTTCAGAAACTCTTTGGGAATGGTTTTCTGAATGGCTTGGGACCGCCGAGGCACGGCATCCGAGTCCATTTATTGAATCATTAGTGTTCTCTGGCTTTCCAGATTGAGAAAGAGAATAACTAAAACTACCCAGCTAAATTCGTGGTAAGTCTACCTACAGTCAGAAACACAGGAAATTTGGAGTTGGAAGGATTATAAGCAAGTCCAAATGATGGTTAAAAGCTCAATGTGGACCTCAGGAGTCATTTGTGTGTCTGCTCCTGCCAAGACAAAGAAACGGAAATCATGTGTATTGTCATAAAAGCCCTCAACCCAGCCAAAACCAGACCTCTTGTCACCCTCCTTAAAGAGACAACTGGTGAGTCACTGGGCATTTACCACATGCACACCTCTAGGTGGCACCCTAAACCTGGAGAAGGAGACAGGGCTCTCACAAACACTTGATTAGGAGACTGATGCGCTGCCTACTGCGCTAAGGAGGCAAGTTCTTCCAAACACTTGAAAGGTAAAGCTCACACTGTACCAGACACAGCATGTATTCTAAGTAGGAAACGGTTTCCCGTATTATTGGTTTGCAGTCAAACTGAAAATAAAACACAGCCCGCAGAACAATCAAATGAATGCTACTAGACTGACATGCTCACAACGCTGTAGGGAGGCCTTCCAGGGCGGTGTGCAATTATACGCCAGTTATCTGAGTTGGCAGTGCGGTGTGGGGCCAAGGGGTGGGAGGCCCCTGCTGACTCCTTCTGCCCAAGTTCAATCTATAGATAGCACTTCTTCCTTCTTTATGAGAGAATTCTGCAGCTTTTCCACCCTGGAGATAGTGCTTAAGAGGGTAGTTCAGGGACCTGAGTGGTTCACAGAGCCTCTTTGTCTCACTAGGAATATCAACCTCGCCGGAAACCTGAAATAGTAAGGAATACTGCTGATTTCCAAATGAATGAAACAGGCTTGGATCCAGTATTTTGTAGATGTCTATCTTGAAGCCACTGGAGACGTGTGACATTCTTCTTAGGGTCGTCTTCTTCCTCACTGTGGTTTCTTCTCGTATGTAAGGCTTATTTTGGCCATCACTGAGCACACCGAGAGCCTAGACAAGCCTTTCTCTTCTGCCTGCAGGTCAGATGCTGTGCTAGGCCACTACAAACTATGTTTTCCCGAGTCGACCATACCTCATATTTATTATACAATATTGAGCTACTTATGGTTAAAATGCCTACACTCAAAGTTTGCTGAAATAATCTTTAGTTAGCTGAGATCTGGTAGGAATTGTAGGAAGAAGCAGGTGGACAGATAGGAAGAAAGGAGATAGAAGACAGAACTCATGCTTGAAATGATGTTTAATTCTTTTGCTTGAATGAAATAGGGTCTCATGTGTCTCAGGCTGGTCTTGAACTCATGATCATCTTACTTCCATTGGATTACAATGTGTGCCACCACTCTCAGCTATGGGTGAAATACTTTAATGTCTTAAGGTGTATTTGTGTGGGCGTATCTGTGTGAATGTACATTCACATGTGTCAGGTACAGGCAGAGGCCAGAAAAAGGATGGAGTTACAGGCAATGTCAGCCACCTGACATGGATGCTGAGATCCAAACTTAGGTCTTCATGTTTGAACAGCAAGTTCTCTTAACTGCTGAGCCATCTCTCCTACCCCAACAGTTATTACCTTATACATACTCTTCTCATCTCTAAACTAATAAGATTATGAACAGAAAGAGATGCAGGGTAGATGACCTTGATAAAATCTGATCCTGCTGTCCTCATAACACAATTATTCCTACCCAAGCCAATCCAGAAGAGTCATGTGTCCACAAGAACATTTTCAATCTACATGCATCATACAATCATTTTATACCTCCTTGTAACAGCCAGAAACTAAGCTTTCCGTGGGCCAACATTCCTTAAAGTGTTCCTGGCTGAACTCTAAAACAAAGAGACTCACTTAGAATACTCAGTTCTACTAAAGTATGTAATACAACATGGTAGAGTTAAGTGTAGGGTTTTTTTTTCTTTCTTTCGTTCCCCCCCCCCTTTTTTTCTTTTTGGTGGGAGAGTTTGTTTTATTGAGACAGGGTCTCTTGTGTGTAGTCCTGGCTGTCCTGAAGTTAATATATAGAACAGGTCCTTGAACTCCCAGAGACCCTCTGCCTCTGCCTCTTGAGTGCTAGGTTTAAAACAGTATGCTACCATACCCTGCCCTGGGTTAAGTGTATTTTAACAAAATGTATATTGCATGCTTTGATATATTTTTTAAACTATCATACTTATTAACTGCTTAGATTAGAGGTTAAAGTGACTCTAAGCTAGAATTCCCAAATTCCTAATTGATATGCAGCATAATGAATCTGTATCGTCATTAACGTCGCCATTTATTTCCTTCTTCTCACTCTACTCATTGCTCATCACCCAATAAAGTGCCGTGAGACACTTTTAAAAATGTGCTTGTACTTTCCACACAGAACCAAGCAAAGAGAAAGAGGCAGGAACCGCGCCAGCAAAAGGTGAGTTAGAGGGAGGGAGAGGGAGACAGAATCCAACAAGGTCAGAACAGGAAAGGGGTGGGGAGGAGACATTGGTGGTCATGTCACCTGTGACATTTATCTGCATTAGCTTTCATCTGTGTGGTTTCCAGTTCCTCATTTGCATCTTATCTGCAAGAACCAATCAGCATAATCCCAAGTGGTGCCCGCAAGAGACTCTGTGTGTGTGTGTGTGTGTGTGTGTGTGTGTGTGTGTGACACTCATTTCCAAAAGGAGGGAAATCCTTACAAAAATATCAAGAGCACTCAGTAAGAAGCCAGTATCAGTTGGTGAGTTGGCAGTTTTTGAGTCCTACTGAATATGATGATCCTAATTTACTTCATTTGGGAAAATCAGCTGATTTATCCAGAGGTTTCAAAAGTTTTCCAGTTTGTGAGTCTTTGCATGAACTACTTCAGGTTCTGTTGCAATAAGACCAGTCCCTCATGGAACAACACTGAGTACACAGTCCTGTGGATACATGAAGACCAGTCCCTCACTGTACAACATGGAGTACACAGTCCTGTGGATACATGAAGACCAGTCCCTTATGTACAACACAGAGTGCACACTGGATACCTACACTGATTTGTAGACACTGGCATTACACATTAAGCAGACGTCATGCCGCTGCTTACTGAATTGAACACTCACTGATGTAATATTGACACATGTTTTGCCCTTTGGGGAAATACTAGCTTTGAAAAAGAAATAACCATTATTGTGTATTTCTGTGTGTCACCATGGTTCAAGTCATTGCTATCACTGACCATCTCTTTTTAGGCTAAAGAGTAAGATGTTTAGCCTAAAAGAGAAAACTTTTCTTGGAAGTTGACGGACAGTTTTGCTTTGTATGTTTGCATTATCATTTTTACGTTAATGAAGAATGTAGTTTCAATTTCAGAGTAATTATTTTCTAATTACAATAAGATTCTTATCTTTCCTGAGTACAACTCAAAGCATGCTAATTATCTATTTGTTCTTTGTATGTCATATGTCATATCCCAATTCCCTTCTATACATTCATGAAATCTATCTTTCTTCCTTCCTTCCTTCCTTCCTTCCTTCCTTTCCTTCACTATACTTGATTTTCTTCAGATAACTTGGACTTACTCTCTTGTAAATGAACACACAATGTTAGCACATTACACTTTGTCCTGACCTTCAGGAGTGCCCATGGACAGTACCACAGATGCTAATCCTGGCTATGTGGCCACAGTTCAAGGCTATTTTCTTACAGAATGCAGACAGTGCAAACTCCTAGAAATCTTTCCATGATACAGGTTCAAGGAGGTTTGCACATCCTGGCTGCAATTATTGTAACATTATTCTCAACAGGACCAGTGGAGTATACCTCTGCTTCCAAGTTTGGAAAGTGTTGCTTAAGCTGACCTGTGGGGCTGAACCAACGGGACAGGTGATGCAATCCTAGAAGGCAAGCTGTCATGCTTTAAACAAAGCCTGAGCTCGACCCTCAGTCTACAAAAGTCATCATACTCCATTTACATGCTTAAAGAAGTTTTCTATAAACTCAAAGCAACCAGTCACCAATACTTCCTTACAGAAAACACATGTGATGAAATAAGGCCAGATGATGGAATCTCCTAAAATTAGTAGCTGTTTCTTCTCTCTTTGCCCTCCTGCTGAAGATGGAGTTTCTGTCCCGCCTGGTCCCGCAGCCATTCAGTCCCAAATAAACACACAGAGGCTTATATTAATTATAAACTGTTTGACTGATGGCTCAGGCTTCTTATTGGCTAGCTCTCTCTTAATTATTAACCCATTTCTATTCATTTGTGTATCTCCATGTGGTTTTGACTTACCGGAGAATGGCCATTGGCCTATCTGCCCAGTAGCTGCCTTTTTTTTTTCTTTTTTTCTTTTTTTCTTTTTTTTTTTAACTATCTAACTCTGGTTTCAGTCCTTTGACAGCTGGCCTGACCATCTGGCTCACTTCCTCCTTTCCGTCTTCCTTCTAATTTTTCTTGGAACTATTGCCCCTGTCATTCATGGTTGTCTCCACTTAGCCACACATTAGTGGTTGACTCCTTGCTTTTCGATGGTTAGGCACTGTGTCTAAACACCTGTTTGGTCTCCTCATCTCGTTCCCTCCAGGATCTGGCATAGAACCTCACATGACAACCTCCCAGCAAACACTTGCAGGATGAATCAATCAACAATTGAATTTCTATGCTGTCTTGGCTACATAGATACAACAATGGTGATCTGGATAGTTTTATTCCTATATTTTTCTCATTTGCTGGGCCAGGTACAGACTTATAGTTGGTATGTAGAACAGCTTTCCCAAAGCCTCTAAGCATGATCACACCCGCACATGGAAATTAGTTCTAAACTTACCCCGGCATCTTTTATTACTATGCACTCTAGTCCTCTGTCTAGTTAAAGCATTTTCAATAAATAAGCTCTATGGCTGTCACTATTAACAATATTTTGCTCTACTGGAGAAATGGCTCAATGGTTAAGAGCACTGACTGCTCTTCCAAGAGGACCTAGGTTAGACTCCTAGCACTCAGGTGGTCCCTCATAACCATGTGTAATTTGCAGTCCTGGGTACTATGGTGACCTCTCCTGGCCTCTACAGGCACTGCCTGCATGTGCTTTAGGCACAACATCCATGCATATAAAATTAAAAACAACAATACGTTTTTGAAAAAGAATACTTTTAACTAAATTTACTCTGGTATGACCTAGAAATTTTCTGGAAAAAAAAACCTCATTTTTGTAGCCAAGGAGAGTTACTTGGTTCACATATTGCCCTTGTAATTAAGGTGTTGGTTATATCCGCCAACTTCTTCAAACACATTAGGAGCTTCTGAGTCATTCATAGTAACTCACACCTATAATCCTTGCATCTGAGGGTGGAGGCAGTAAGACTGAGTTTTGAAGCCAGCCAGGGTTACAAAGTAAGACCCTACTCCAAAAAATTTCTTTTTTCTTTTTCTTTCTTTCTTTTTTTTTTTTTTGAGACAGAGTTTCTCTGTGTTGCTTTGGAACCTGTCTTAGAACTCACTGCCTCTGCCTCTGCCTCTGCCTCTGCCTCTGCCTCTGCCTCTGCCTCTGCCTCTGCCTCTGCCTCTGCCTCCCAAGTGCTAGGATTAAAGGTGTGCACCACCACATCCAGCTAAAAAAATTCTTTTTTAGTATTGTATTAGTTCAGAGTCTTGTTTACATATGTGTATGTGTGTGTGTGTGTGCGCATGCATGTGCGCATATATGATAGGCTTAGTTAAAGAATTACTGTGGCTTTTGTTTTACTTCCAGGAAAATAATTGCTTTTTGTAGTTGCTGCAAGGAAAAATAAAAACTTGCTTACTTTCCCCAGTCTCCCCTGAAACCCTTCGAAACCCACACTTGTCAAGTCCCTCACATAACCTAAGCTGGAGCCTCTTCCTCCTGACCCAGTGTGGCTGGGAGAAGAGGAAGTAAACCAGAAGGCCTTTGAACCTGTGCCTTGCTGGAGGATGCAATTTCTCTAAGGAATCTTTCATTCATTTTCTCCTCTTAGGTTCCTTTATACCTGCAGCATCAGTGTCCTGGGGCTTTTTACTCATGTGCTGAACTGTGCTTGAGCAATTTACCTGTTGACGTCCATCAATTAATCCCTCTCTGAAAGACCTCATACAGGTTTCCTTTTCTTTTGCTGTGTAGTCTAGTATCATTGCTTTAGAGTAATGAATCTGTTAAAAATTCACATCGTTGTGTTTCTCGTTGCTGAGGCAGGCATTAGAAGATATAGCATCCATATCATAGGTCTGGAGGAGAGGAAAAAACTCATTAAATATACATATTTATAATAAGATGAACATTTGATTTTTATAAACATCAAAATGTGGAGGCATGTGTCATTTTAAAAAGTATAATTTAATAAGATGACTCAAAAATGATGAATTAATGCTAGCTATTGTTGCTGTCTTTCAATATTTTGTCCTTGCTGTTATGATTTTGGCAATGTATAGTATTATTTCTATATATGATTGCCCTGCTTGAGGTATTCATGAATTTGCCTAAATCAGACAAGATACCAGTATTCAACCTGTGTTTGTTATGAATCATGCATATTTCATATGCATTTACTCTTCATTTGTCTGAAGTTTACATTGCTTAAATTATTTTTTGCATTAACAGGCAATTTAAAATCAACTATGGGAAAGCCAATCACAGTGGCACTTGTCTTTAATCCCCGTACTTGGGAGGCAGAGGCAGGTGGATGATCACTTTGAGTTCAAAGCCAGCCAGGTAGAGATAATTGCAGAACCCAACAGAGCCTGGAAGACTGAAAACACACCCTTCAGGTTCTGGGGTGGCTGGGATTGCACAGCAGGGCCCACACACAACCCAGAGGACTCGTGGACCTCACTGAGATCCTAGGCTTTGAGTGTGGCTGTGTTCTCTCTCTCCTCTGACTTCTGCACTGGAAATGCCATTTTTCAGCCATCATTTTCATGGCCCCATGATTTCTATTTTCCCATGACCTGGAAATAAACAAGATCTGCTGTTGTTTTTATCTAAGTTGTTCTATTACCAAGAAAGACTTGGGAGTCAGATATTGGGGTGAAAACCTGATAGATCAAAGAAGCATCAGAGCAGGAACCAGCTGACCTTCCTTTTTTTTTTTTTTTTTTAACCAGAGCCCACAAGAGCATCTCTCCACATGTCCCAAGCCAAAACAGACAGCGAATCTCTAAGTCCCTCCCTACTCCTTCCTGTGAGGGTCTTTATCCATCCTCTCTATAGCTAAATTCCTGTCCACGAGTTGCTGACTCCACCCCCTGCCCCATGGTTGATTTTATTAACAGAGTCTCGGAGTTTCACAGCGTGATCAGGTGCAGCTAGGGCGCACAGCCTGCTGCCTGCAGACTCCGTCTTCAAATGTGTTGTATTCTAGTAAGCCCAAAAGGAAAAGTTAGAATTTTCGCCAGCGTTGTAGTCACTTTGAAGTAGAGAATGGGGTTGCGGGACTTCCATACTACACTATTTCTTTTTTTGTTTTTGTTTTTTGAGATTCTGGTGTTGAGTGCATGCCACAGCACCTAAAAGGTTCACATAGCCTGCCCCCATCCTCCGCAACAGAATCTGCCTTTAGTGGTTGATAAGAAATATTAAACTTTTCTTCTTCACCCAACTCAATTGAATTCAACCAGGCCAGCATTGGAGAGTTTAATTCAGATTTTCAACATCCAAGGTTCATCACAGAGATGAACACTGGTAATCCCAACTCTGAAGAGGCCAAGGCAGGGGGATTTCAAGGTTGAGGTTCATGAGTTCCAGGCTAGCTGTGTCCTTTTCTTTTTTTTTTCCAGAAGCAGATGTACAATGAGTTTAAGAAGGATATCACCTCAAGTCCACTAGCAGATGAGCTCACCAAGGGCGTTGACACGTGTGCCAGTGAATATGCATAAACACCACAATAAAATACAAATGTTCACTGGAGCTATCACTAAAAGTTTCCACTGAACAATCCCAATTTTCATAACCTGGTGAATCTCCTCCTGGGTTTTGAAATAATAACACTGGGGGACGTCTCCGTGTTGCAATATTTTGTTTGGAGAAGTGGTAAGATACATTCCTGGTTGAGAGTGATGGAAAGCCACTAAAATAGTATTTGTTGTAAATTTTCCAATAGATCCTACAAAAGCCTACCATCTCTGTAAATGTTAAACTACTTTTAGTAAATATTCTATGCACACAGATCTTCTGTATCGTATGCATGAGGTCATATAAGGCCCCATTATGGTAAGTGTAAAATGTGAATTATTTATTCGGACGCTAGCCCGCATGCTTTGGGAAGAAGGGTCAGTGTTTCCAGTACCACCGACTGCATCTTTACATATGCAAAGCATGCATGTTGTTCCACAGGTGTGTCAGCAAGGGGGTTCAGTGCCTCTGAGCATAAGTGCTGCACAATGTATTTCGGAATTCATAACTTTGCATGAGTAAATTTTAAATTATGCAGCACTAGAAGTACCAATACAATCTTGGGGAAATGGCTGCAAAGTTCTGAAGATGAATATCACTAAACTTAATAAAAAACAGATTAATTTATATTCATTAACTTGAGTTTTGGCTTCTTAAATACAGAAGGGAAATGCTAGGGTTTACTGGGTGGAAACAAGTTCTCAAACAGTCTCTAAAAGCTCATGTGTCAGTGTCTAAATGAGTGATATATGCATAACATCTGACATTGGTTTCAGCTATGAAAGAAAAACTTGGAAACCCCCTCCATCATTTCCCACTGACACAGAAGCTCTGGCATAGCTCCATTTTTTAAATCTAGGTTTTCATTTGAATTATCCAACACTCACACCCTTTTTTGTATTCTCCTTCTGTTCGGTTTAGGGTTTTGTCCGTGCTCTTAAAGTTTACCCGCAGGTTCAAGGTCTCCCAGGGCTCACTCAACGGCTGAAAATGCTGTGTAGCCTCTCTCTTTTTTTTTTTTTTCCAGACTCCTCTTCCCCAGGTTACCTGGATGAAGTTCTCTCTTCCTTGACTTTTTCCTCCTGTTTCTTGTTTCAGAGGAAGATGAGGTCTCTCCGCCGAGTGCCCTGCCTCCAGGTTAGGATGACTCCCGGGCCCAACTTTTAACTCATTAATTCCTTGTCCCGCTGTAGAAGCAAAGATTCAGGGAAGTAAGAGGGGGAAATCATTGGCTTTAATGATGATTTCCAAGAGAAACTTCTGAACAGGAAGATTCCCTAGCCAAGTGTGGTGATACACACCCATAATCTCAGTACCGGGAAGGTTTTCAAGGTCGGCCTGAGTTACATGGTGAGACATTGTCTTAAAAAAGAAAAGAAAAATCTTGGATATAGATGAGTTTAGGGATGAAAATGGTTATCATTCATTTTCATCTATATATCCTGCCACCTCCCATCCTTATTTGTATTTTCAAATTGTATTTTTTGTTCTTTTTTTTGTTTGTTTTTTTGTTTTTACGAGACAGGGTTTCTCTGTATTGTTTAGGAGGTTGTCGGTCCAGCCTGGCCTCTGCCTCCCGAGTGCTAGGCTTAAAGGTGTGCGCCACCACCGCCCGGCTTGTATTTTTGTTCTTAAAGAAGACAGACTTGTAACAGAGTCCTTCATGGTTGGGAATCAAGGCCACGTTCAGTTTTCTTCCTCTATAACAAAAAGAGATGGAGCCTAGGGGTACCCCAGGGATGCTGTAGTTAGCCCACTTCCTACTACCTAGCCCCTCTTGCATCCTCCAAATGATGCTTTCCTTTCAGGTTTGGGTAGTCGGGCCCTGGAGAGAAAAGACTCAGGTGAGCAAATGCATCGGGACACGGCATCCAGACAGGCTTACACAAGCACTAATGAGTGTTTCCTGAAGCTGTGCTCACTCTAATCCTTGGTTTATTCAGTCTGTAGCTCTTATAGCATCCTTCTGTGACATTTCCCAGTACATGGAAACTAATGGATTGAGAAACAATTAATTTTGCATGATACAAATACACACATTCAAGAATCCGGCCACATATGCCACCAACTTACTTACTATATAACAATATCACCTTTTTTTTTAACACTTAGAGAAACAGAGATCAGTCTCCACTCCTGGGATGTGCCAAAGTTATAATTCACATCTGTGTATAATTGCAAATATAATTGCTAGAAACATTTTCAAACATGTCCTATCAGCTGCAGCTACAATTCTGAAGTTACTTGGTCATTCATTCATTCATTCAGTCATTCAACAACTTTGTGCTGTGGGCCTAGCCTGGTCCCATCCCTGACCACTTCAGGGCCAGTCAGTGGCACAGGCACTGCAGGCGTAGAAGTGAACACAATAGTGAAAATTCGTGTCCCCATATCCTTTACACAAGTGACCAGCACTCGCTACGGCTGTTAGCAGGGACACAACACGTTCCTTTCACAGTAGCATGGGAATTGAGAATGTGTATTCCAGCAACTACTTGGCTTAACTTCATCGTGGGTAGAATTCTAAGCACTGAGCATGACTGACCCGTGAAAACTAAAATGATTAAATGTGCACTTTCCTTTTTTTCCTGAAACATTAACAAACATAGTTGTTGAACCACGCATTTCCACCCAGTTATCAAGTGCTGACAACCGCACTTGGCTCAGTGAGGGCTGGACTATAGCCCCCCTTTACCGCCCCCAACTCCCTCACTGGAGTTAATTGCTAATCACTGGTAACTCTGCACCTCCTTTCAGGCTAGGAAATACAAGATAAGCTTCCTTTTCAGCTTGTCTCTCTTTGTGGGAAAGCTGTGACCAGTCTTCGCTCTGTTTTTGTTTTTGCTTTTGTTTTTCTCTTCCTTGCAGGACAATCCAACTATTCTTTAAATTTGTCCCTGCAGGTCATGACCCTGTTACTTAACCTCTACGTAGAATTTTCCACTGAGCACAACAAGGAACCTAAAAGATCAAGGCCAGGCTTGGCTGTCTGACCCAAGCTGAGCAGTTTATTCTCCAAGTGACCACCCACCTTTTTAGTTTCTCCAGATCCTGTTGTATGGATTTGGACCAGAGAGACACGAAGACTGCTGTGAGGATCTCTCACTGCCGCTGTGTAGATAATGGGAAACAGGCGGAACACCAAAGATATCTAACAACTCACCCGACAAGCTTCACTATTCCAGGAATTAGGCAATGGCCCTTGGTCTGACCGGTGAAGAGCTAACACCGTAGGGATGGAAATCTGACCCTCCCTCCTGATGGTTGGTGGGGCAAGACAAGGCTGTCTTTTTGATCTAGGTTTTTAAGCTAGAGCAAGAATCTGGATGAGGAGAACAGAAGCACAGGTAAGCCATCCTGAGGAGAAGCTGGCCCTGAAATGATCCCTGTCCTCCTTTCCGCTTCCAGAATGGTCTCTCGGTGAGTCACCTGCTGGCGGAGAGGAGCAGGACAAACAGAACGCCAACTCTCAGCTGTCCACCCTCTTGATTGAAAAACCTCAAACAGGATCAGTGAAAGTTGGTGAGTATTAGCCCGAATCCTTCCCCTCTGCACATATCACAAAGTAAATCATTTTAAAATGAGATTTTTCAGTAGCCACGAGAACATTTGTCATGCCATTCCATCTTGTATCCCATTTTTCCACCTCCCTGCTTCCCTGTTCCCTAACCTTTGTTGACATTTATTTTAGTAGTTGTTAGCACATAGGAATTCAGTGTCAGGACCTAAGAGCCAGTTTGTTTGACGTGCATTGGTGTTTTGCCTTCATGTGTGTCCATGTGAGGGAGTCAGATCTTGGAGTTAGAGGCAGTTGTGAGCTGCCATGTGGGTCCTGAGACTTGAACCCAGGTCCTTTGGAAGAACAGTGTTCTTAACCACTGAGCTATCTCCCTAGCCCCAGTGAGAGCCAGTTTGATTGGACCTAAAACGTTGGTTCTTGCTAGTAGGACAGATGATTTTTCATCATTCCACCTCAGTTTCTTCCTGTGTAAAATGAGAATAAATAATGATGCCTGTCTATGAAGTACGCTCAACCAGCTGTCACTCTGGCAGGAATGGCCCCATCAGGTGCTTAGAATGCCCACAAGTCTGTACATGTGCTAGTGTACAGACACACACGCAGTGTGTCTCAAGGGCAGATGGTACAGATTTGGAAATATTTATTCAGAAATATTCATTACAGGCTCTCTGGTTGCCCTGGATATGGTGTGCCATATGAAATCTACATAAATTATAAAGACAGTAACAGACAAGAAAAGTTAGCCAAACTGATAACCACAAAAGTTACATGCCATGAAGGGAATAAACATAGAGCTGAGAGAGACAACTTAGGACCTCATGGGTTTTAATTTAGCAAATTCTTATGATCAGGATCAGACTTGGGTATTGACCAGATGTTATGCAAATGAGCAAATAATTAACTATATCCCAGACTTTCTTCTGTTAGGTCTAGCATACAAGTAGAAATGTTGGCTTCTGGTGTTCCCGGGGCCTAATCAGTGACTACATAGTCACTTCAAAGAGATTGGGTTAACTTACTCATAACCCTGTGATTACAGACATCCGTCATCTTGAATAATAAAGAGATGTATTTCTTTTGTGATTTTTAATTCCACATAAATGTAAATACACATATGAATATTTCTTTCCACCAATATCTTCATTGCTTCTTTTCTGATTCAAAATTTCCAAACGAGCCGGGGATGTGGCTCAGTGGCAGAACACTTTTTTAGCATGCACAGGATCCCAGGGCTCAATTCTCAGATGTATATATATACATACATACGTGTGTGTATGTGTGAGTATCTGAATATATATTATATGTGTGTATATATAACCTGAGTATATATATTACACTATTGTATATAATATATAAATATGATATGTATATATATATATTTGATATTTAATTTTTCAAGACAGGGTTTCTCTGTAGCTTTGGAGGCTGCCCTGGAACTAGCTCTTGTAGACCAGGCTGGTCTCAAACTCACAGAGATCTGCCTGCCTCTGCCTCCCGAGTGCTGGGATTAAAGGTGTGCACCACCACTGCCCGGTAAATATGATATATATTACTCAGTAAAAATATATAGAGATTCATACACACACACACACACACACACACACACACACACACACAAACTTCCAAAGCATATCACATGAACTTTCCTAAGGATACTTATCACAAAACAGGACTGACCCATTGTGCCGCTGTGAAAACAGAAGCCATGCTCCATACCGTGCAGACTTGCGTCAACTCCCTTCTGCTGAAAGCAAGACAAATGACAGTTCCTAAATCTCAGATTAAATCCTTTGTACTTTTTCTAGGTGAAAACATCACCTTTATAGCCAAAGTCAAGGCTGAAGATCTTCTTAGGAAACCTACTATCAAATGGTTCAAAGGGAAATGGATGGATCTGGCCAGCAAAGCCGGGAAACACCTACAACTAAAGGAGACCTTTGAGAGGCACACTCGGGTACGGTCCTGACCCGTCGGGTAGAAAGCTGTTTCGACTGCTGCATGGCTTTTCCCTGGGGGGTATATTTCTATTCACCCAGATAACTGTGACAGTGATCTCAAAGAAAAGCTCCCATCCGAGGCCAGCTTGGTGAACCAAGGGGTTATCTCTAGGAGCATGCGTAAGGTGTTACCTACAGCAGCGTGAGAAAACCAGGGGCTACATCATGAAAAGCCTCACCCCGGCAAGGGTGATCGTTTATGAGAGCTGCATCACCCATCTTTGGTACAACTTCACTGATAGCTAGGCACTGCAGGTTATCTCCTCTGTAGTTCTTTGCTGTCGATGGAACACAGGGAGGGGCGTGGCGAGGCTCCACCTTCTCTCCAGGAGGGAATGTTAAAAAGGCTTAAATCTTGTGATTGTCTCATTCTGGTGATTCAAAGCTACTCTGATTCAAAATGGTAATGATTAGCTCCAACCCAGAGGAAATAGCTACACGACGAAAGTTCAGTTTTGAGTGATTCTGGTCCCCCTGGGTTATCATCCCCGTGTCTGCACTCTGCTGCAATTGTCGCTGTTTCTAGAAACTGTAGGGCACATTCTCCTTCTAGACCGAGACATACTAGATGCAGGTGCTGTCTTATCTTTACACAAACACTGAGAAATTTGTTAAGTAATTGAAAGGAAAACACTTGGTATGTCTGGATGCTTTTCGTTGCAGATATACACATTCGAGATGCAGATCATCAAAGCCAAAGAGAACTATGCAGGAAATTACAGGTGTGAGGTCACCTACAAGGATAAATTTGACAGCTGTTCATTCGATCTTGAAGTGCATGGTAAGAGAACCTTCTCGCCTGGATAAATGTGACTTTTTACAGAATGGAAAAAAGATGGAGAAGATATTTATGCAATGCTATCAGATTTGGATGATTTAATTTGCATTTTGTTTTGCTTTCAAGACAGGGTTTTCTCTGTGTAGTTCTGACTATAGAACTCACTCTGTAGACTAGGCTGGCCTCAAACTCAGAGATACCCCTGCCTCTGCCTCCCTAGAGCTGGGACTAAAGGCCTGCAATACCACCATCTTAATTTTCATTTAAGATTGCATTTTTTCTGATTATGGAGGATTAAGTAAGTTTGATGAACCAGTATTATCTCCTGTTACCAGCAATCCACCAGTCTCCCAGAGAAGGATAATACTGTTTTTCTAATAATGTTATCTGTTGCATGAGACCACTTTTCCACGGAGTTTTGGGAATAAGACTGCAAGGATGCCAGGACAAAAGGAAGATGTTCTCCTATAGTGACTAATGTCACACAGTGGAAATTTCCACCTATGTGTTTGATGCACTGTCCAGAAAAAACTCAATATGGATAAATCTTAGGGTACATTGAGAATAGATGAAATTTCCACTTTTGTAAGTATGAAGGTAGAAAATCAGCTTACTAACAATAATCATGAACTTAAGATGAGTTAATCTAGGTGTGATGTAGCCAAAAATAAAAAATAAAAAAGCCAGTATTGTTTTAAATGGAATTCTTTACATGGACTGGAATTGAGTTTTAGGAAACAAAGCCTTTCTCTGCAACCTACTACTTGTTCCACATTTGGAGTAATGTCATTGGTCACGTGTACTGTACCTCAGCTTCCATCCCTCCAGAGCAGGGTAACTGAGATCACAAAGACTCCAGAAACTACACCCTTGTCCTACTTGAGTATATGTGGATGAAGGGAGTCAGCCATGTCTTAAAGTACAAACAAGGGCAGCCACACAGAAGGGAAATGCCCTTTCCTGTGCTCAAGCAGGGTTAGGCAGATTGGAGAGTCTGGGGAGGCGAACTTTGTCCTCACATTAGGATGAACTCTGCCAGGAAGCTATGTAGACAAGCTAGGTGTGGCACATGCCTCGACCACTCAGGAGACAGAGACAGCAAGACAACTGGACTTGAGGCCCGCCTGGTTTACAGAGTGAGTTTCAGACCAGATAGAGCTACATAATAAAACTGTCTCTAAAAAAAGTGAAAATAAAAGAAAGGAGAGAAACAGAAAGGAAGGAAGGAAGAAGGAAAGAAAGAGAAGGGAGGGAAGAAGGAAAGGGAAGGGGAAGAAGAGGAGGGGAGGGGGAGAAAAGGAGAGAGGGGAGAGGGGAGGGAAACTATGTTGACAACCTGGAAAGGACATGAAGTTCTTATTCTGAGAGATGTCAAGCTGACACAGAATGATCATGGGTCCCTTCACTGTAAGGACTTCTAGTACCCACAGAGCTGCATTGCTCTGGCCAGGCATGTCTAACAGTTTCCTGGGAAACCTTTACAGAATTGTGATTGTTGGATTTCCCTCCATGATCTCATAGATCAAAATCTCTATCAGAAAATATGAAGTTAGTGCATTTTAAAAGTTCTTTGTGAACCAGTGGACAGGCAGGTGGGGTGACTATTTGCCTCCCAAGTCTTTCTGTTGGTTCTTCATTTAGAGGCTGAGAGATGAGGATGCCTCAGGAGCCCAGTCACCCAGGAGAACAGCCATGTCCCTTCATCTAATGCTTTTCCATCTGGGGAAAGCTCCACAGTCCACGTGAGAACTGAATACAAAACCACCTTCTTAATTGTCATTCATGGTATTATTTTCTTTCTTTTCAAAGAATCTACTGGGACTACTCCAAACATTGACATCAGATCTGCCTTCAAGAGAAGGTAATTTCAAAGTGGGAATCCAGATAGCTTTCATATAACATGGAGGTAGAAGGATTTCCTTCCATACTCCATATTCCCAAAAGGCTCAGCCCATTTCACTGAAGCCAAACATATGTAAAAGTTGCCTTTCTAGAAAAGCCATGAGCTTTAATACCCAACCAACCTTATGCTGACAACTTCTTGGAGTATTCTTGTTAGAGAATGGAGCCTCCGTTTTTTGCAGGTCTCACGATGCCTTAGATTATCCAGATTGAGGAGTGGCTTCATCCTTAATTGCATTGTTTTCCTCCAAATGCCCACAAGAGAAAAAGAAAGAATATACCTCATACAGCACCAGCATAGTCATAGCTGAAAACTCTCATTTCTATTTCTTTTCATTGTGTATGGAGCTACTAAGCCACATGCCCTACCCAAAACACAATTATTAAAGTTAACACCACATACTGTGGGATTGTCCTAGATGAATAACCACGAATCTGCTGGCCTTGAGGGCACTGTAGAAAGTAACAACTTAGACTGACCCCACACACCACTCGGGAAAGCTGCCCTAGAGTATAAAATATGCGATCCCTTTATTATAAAGCAATGGTTTATCTGATTACAAAGATACAATTTCCTGTCTAATTTATCAAGAAATATAATGTTTAGTGACTTTTGAAAAATATTAGAAATTATTCAATGAGTTAGTGATAATTTTTACCTTGAAACCAACCCTCAAACTGTCAAATCCTGTTACTGTCACCCCGCCCCCATCTCATACTCAGCAATAAACTGACCTAAATGTACTCAAGGCACACACAGGTGTATCTTAAGACAGGGAGACACAAGCTACTGTTTTGTGCTTTGAAAGAATAGAAATGTATGTGTTTACTTTTAAAGGCCCTCAGCCACCTGCTAACAGAAAATGTGAGAACACATTACTTGGGTTTAATTTCTTATGACTTACATCTTAGACTTACATCTTAAACCCACATACTCTTTTCTTAGAAACTACAGCTAACATCTATAAAGAGCAGAAAACAAAACCTCCATTAAAATTAGACATGTAAGTAAATCCGTAGTGCTGTTTACACAGCAGCACCACAGCTCCTACTTAGAGTTAATGAAAAATCAAGGGAGCGGCTGCATGACTGCCTTAAGATGCATTTCTCTATAGGGAGACTCCTTAAAAGGTCACTAAGAAAGAGTTAATCGGCAACTCAAGAGAGAACATTTTGAGAACCACACTTTTAAAAGGTGCTAACAAGAAAACCAAATGACTATACCACAAAGAGAGTAGTTTCTTTAAAACAGAAAGAAATGCATCTTCTAGAAAGCTCTACAGTGAGTAGCTCCGTTTTTAATGCCCTGTTGGCGTCACTTATTGGATTCATCTACCCATGGGCATAGAGGTTAGCTTTGGATATAAGGCCATGTGTGCACTTACATGCCTGACAGGCTACGCTTTGTCCTTCAAGCCAATCTCTGTCTTCCATGAATAACAGAGATCAGCAAAAGTCCTTTGCTTTTTACACAGGTTTCTTTCCAGAGTCCCCAACTTGCAAAAACAAAGTACTTTGTGTTGCTTGGCTTAAGTGCATTTGTGTTATCTGGTTTTAACACAAATCCAAACAGTTTCATATATGCAATCTACACCGTGTCTTCTGCAGCCACCCAGTGACACAAGCTCCTTCTGTCTACTTTTCCACAAGTACATGCTCCAAAAACTTCCAATGTCACTTGTGTGAAAAGAAACCGTTTGTGTTGACTTAGTCCTTGTGTGCCAGTACAAAATTGCATATACATTCTGTGCAGAGTGTTTGTTCAGGGAAACTCATCTATGTGTCTGCATTAAACCCAGATTTGCTTTTCTTTTGTTAATGACAGTGGAGAAGGTCAAGAGGACGCAGGGGAACTTGACTTTAGTGGTCTCCTGAAACGTAGGTGAGAACCAAGTGATGCCGTGAGGCACCGTGGCCTGGATCTTTTAGACCCACCCAGAGAAGTCAAGTTTAAGCTGAATGTTTTTCAAAGAATTGTCGTTTTGTAATATGTGTTTTGCTCATAGAACATAACAATCAACTAAGTGAGAGAGAAAGCAGCGACTACACACTAATCTGTTGAAGGCAGTAGCTGATGCTTCCTAAGCTTTCTACTTACGTGTTTTATGAGTTTTCGTGTATTTCCTTAGTTGAAGGTGAGGAAATCTGATAACTGAGACATAAGACTTGCATGCCGGGAAACAGTCAAGACTACATAAGACTCTCTTCTGTGACTGGGAAAATACAGCTTTTGTTCTACCTTTGATTTGTGACACGTGACTGAAAATGTCAATTTCACATTTTTGGTAGTGGTCTTTGCAGTAGGCAGAGTCACTCTGATATTTTATTTATGACTCAAATTTAAGACTATTGATTTGAAGACATGCTAATATTTCATAAAACACTAATGATGAAAGATTTTTTCTAGATATTTTATTTAGTGCTGATTATACGATACATACTTATTCCAGAGATGTTTAAAATGCCATTCCCATGTTGAATATTTTAGAAATAATGAAACACAGTTGTAAACAGAAATAAATATTTATCGTTCACACTTCCTTGACAATGTTGTCTCATGTAATAGAACGTATAGGACAGCCTTATGGATATTCAGTCAGAATTGAACTATGATATAGAATTTCTGTCCATATATATAAAATTATAAAATAATATAATAGACTATATTATATAAGTGTTAGTTGCACCTACATACACATTTTCCATAGCAGAAAATCAACAAAAAGAGAGTGTTATTTTCTGGGACTATAGTTTATCTAACAAGTGTGTGAATAAACAGTAAACCTATTAGTCTTAATAATTTATAATTTTGGCATCAGTTTTCATTTAGCATCTCAGATTCATTTTAAAAACAATTTAAGTCCTATTTGTGATATTAAAGGAACATTTGTACAAATGCTCCTCAAAAACTGTAAGTTCTTGAAAGAAACCAGAATTGTGTTTGTAGTCTGTTTGGATGAGAATACAAACTAATGAGAATACAAAAAAAGATGTGCCGATGCTCCAAATGACGCTGTAACGATAAACAGCACACTTACTGAAAGTAAAACTAAGTATTTATTGTAGAAATTACTCACAAGATACCAAACAAGTAATCCAGATGAGCCCAGTAGTTTTCCACTGCCGAACTGGAAGCCGAAATCCAGAAAAAGAGACCAAGACTTCCTGTGTGCTGTCTTTTATGCCTTCCCCCGTAACGCCCCCAGCCATGCCCAAAAGTGGGCCTGGCTAGTAATAGTTCACCGCCTACGTACGTATACATCTTTACGTCCGTCCGTATATATGTCTTTAGTCATGTTTAAAGTGGGTGTGGTTAGTGGTGTGGTAAACCGCTCTTTTATTACCTCATCTGTATGTGCCTCTAGTAAGTCACATGGTTAATGGCGGCATACAGGCTTCCTCCTACAGATGGCTTTTTTCAAGTTAATGGAATGAAGATTTCAATCAGAGCCCTCAACATTAAGGCTAAAAACAGAAATATTAATAGGTGTGATTTATTAATTAGTGATAAATATTCATCATGAAGGTGGTAATACCAAACACATATTTTGATATATCAATCATTAGTTTAAATAGTATTAATTATTTCTCAAAGTTTATTTAATTGTATGAAGTGCCATTAAGTGAACCTCATTGTCTGGTGAGAATCCAAGGTCCTGAGACACTGAGTCACTTACACAGAGTCATACCAGAACAGGTAGGGCAGAAACCTGAATCCAAATTTCTCTGTTTTTCTCTCTGGGTCAAGGCTATCCCTTTGACTCCATGCTAGAAAAAGAACTCCAAGTCTGCCCTAGAAGCTGGCATTGCCATTTACAATGTACACGGCACACCGTAGACAACAAGGGTGTTTTCTTCCTTCTGCACATGTCACTCAACTGGAAAATACCAACCACTTTCTCTGTAGAAAATAAAGCTAGATAGTGTCTAGACAAATAAAGCAGGGTCTTCTCCATAGAAAAGGATGAAAAAATATTTGTATGATAGTGAGACAGACATCAATCTCAACACCAAGAAGTAATATAAGGTAGTAAAATGAAAATAAATGTTTAGTATTAATGATCACACTTTCTTGACAGCGTAGAATTTCATTGTGTGACTTTGGTCAAAATCCATGTCCTCTCTATAGTGTGTTTTCCACATATGTACATGCAAAAAATAAAAACTAATAAAATTATAAAAATTAAATTAAACATAAAAGATGGTAGGTAGAAGAAACCATCCCTTCCTCTAGAAAAATGGAATGTTTTCTTTCAATGTGTTTGTCTTCATACAAAGAACACACACACACGCACACGCACACGCGCATACACACACGCACGCACACGCACACACACACGCACGCGCATACACACACTCACATAATCAGGATGTGGTACAGTAAATTTAGTGCCATGCTCCAATTTAAAAATGAAAGGGAAAGGAAAGAAAAAAAAACAATCTGTTTTTACAAACAGTTTGCAGGGGAAGAAAGAGGAACCTACTTCTATAGCCCAAATGACAAGAGAAAACAAATCTTAGGAAAAGGGCAGTGACTATGTCTCCAGTTCTCGTTTCCTTCACATCCTTTAATTAAGGCTAAGATTCATGGATTGTTCACAAAAGACTGCGTTCATTTAATATATGGTACTAACCCATCATTATTACTGTGGAAGGCGTGTGTTTCTTACTAACCTGTGGGTTGCATGTGTTTTCATTGTGGTAATGACACATGGTTACCCCTTCTACTTCTCCAGAAGTGTGTGGCAAAATCTCAATTGGATAAATACTAGAGCCAGTGTCTCTGTACAGGAAATTCTCCCTTTGCATATTAAATCCAGCTTATTTCAATAAACACTAGATGAATCAAGGCTAATCTTTGGGGCAGTATTTCATTGTGGGATTAGACCTTTATAAATATTTACAAGTCTTATTTCTACATAAAATTTCTATAAATGATTTATGGCTCACTGGGACCATCAATTTATAGGAATTTTTGCTGTAGATAAAAGTGCATTGGGCACTGCACAGGTCTATGCCAATGATGCAACAAACCCTAAAAGTCTAGATTTTTCTCCTCACTGTACTTCAGCTGACCACACAGACAGTGACCTGAGTAGCCACCACGGGGTGTAAAGATGGGTTCTAGGGGAGCTGACTGCTACAGAACAGAGCTTTGACCTCACATCCCCATACAAAATAAAAGCTTCTGTTTAAACTCGAGGCTACACTAAAGTGGTGGGAAAAGAGGGGAAGACCGCGGTGATGTCCTCACACAATTTGATAAGGAACACGCTGGGAAGGCCTATAGCCTCGTACATCAGTGAAAGATTCTGGGGATGGTTGGCGGTGAGTCTAGGGAACGGTGAACACTTTCACTGGCCTCCTCTGTAAACCTCATGAACCAAGTATGCCTCTTTTTTTTCTTGTCTCTCTTGTAGCTATTTAAATTGTAGTAAATGGTGTGTGTGTAGCTCTGTTGGTAGAACATTTATTTACCTGGTGTGTACAAAGCCATGGGTTCGATTAGCAGCACTGCATTGGGCATGGAGGTACACATCTTTAATCTCAGCACTCAAGAGGTAGGTGCAAGAGGACCAGAAGTTTAAAGTCATCCTCGGCTATATGGTAAAGTCAGGGTCAGCCTGGGCTACATGAGCCATCGTAAAAGCAAACAGAAAGTCTATAAACATATAGACTTTCATATCTTTAAATATGTCCACCAAATATAATATGAAATATATAAATTGAAATATGTATAACATAACTTTTCTTAATTAAAATACCAAATTTAAAATATACACATGTGTACTTATATATACATTTTAACTAAAATTCTCCAAATTTAAAATATACACATGTGTACTTAAATATATTTTAAACTACAATTCTCCAAATTTAAAATAGTTAAAAATTTGGTTTTATTACCTTTAATTATGTGTATCTGTGTCTGTGTGAGGAGTGTCCAGTATGTGTGGGTGACCATGGAAGCCAGGGTATCAGGCCCTTCAATCTGGAGTTACAAGCTGCTATGGCTACTCAACATGGGTGCTGAGAGCTGAACTCAGATCCTCTGGAAGAGCAGCAAGCAGTCTAATGACTGCGCCATCTCTACAGGCCCCAATGTAAAATACTTTAGAAGATGGATTTAAGAGGAAGACCGCTTTCAATCTACAGGGTTAGTGAGCCTGAAATTATTAGCCTTGTTCCAATTTAAGGATAATTTCAATCTGTATGTGAATACAAAGCATGTTTTCACTTTTAGGAGATGAAAAGGATGTTTCTTGTTCTTGTTTGGTTTTTGAGACATGGTCTCAGTGTGTAGCCCTGGGTGACCTGAAGTTTGCTATGTAGACCAATCTGCTATCAAAATTCAGAGATCTACCTGCCTCCCCTTCCCGAAGTGCTGGGATTAAAGGTGTGTGTCATCATACCCAAATGGGTCGTGAGGTTTTTTTGTTTTTTGTTTTTTGTTTTTTCGAGACAGGGTTTCTCTGTGGCTTTGGAGCCTGTCCTGGAACTAGCTCTTGTGGTCTCGAACTCACAGAGATCTGCCTTCCTCTGCCTCCTGAGTGCTGGGATTAAAGGATGCGTCACCACCGACCAAGCGGGTCAAGAATTTTTTTAAAGATGCATTATTTTTTTCCTTTAAAATTTTTTTAAAGAAGTGTGTGTGTGTGTGTGTGTGTGTGTGTGTGTGTGTGTGTGTGTGTGTGTGTGTGTGTGTGAGTATGGCTGCTTGCAGAAGCCTTAAGAGGATATTGGACTCCTTGGAGATGGACAACAGGCAGTTGGTACTTTTTTTAGTGTGTGCCCTGGGAACCAGATTTAGCTCTTACGAAAGAGCGGTACATGCTCTTAACTGCAGAGCCATCTCGCCAGCCCCTACACATATTTCCTTAATGGGACTGGCTAGACATTGCCATTAAGATGGTGGACCAAAGACCTCTTGTGTCCTTCCACCCTCTAGCTTACACATGACAGTGTAAGCAGATCATTAGACATCATCCTCGCCTAGGCTCTCCTAAGCTCCGTGTTGCAATTGTATTTCCTTCTCGGGGAACATAAGAACTTAAAGAAGAAATTCCGAGATAGGTTTATGTCATGGTTCATTTAGACTAAACTCCCTCACTAAAAAAATTTATGTGTGTCGGCCTCATTTTGTGGGTTTGAAATAGGGGCAGGACGAGCATTGTGTTTTTAAGCAGGAAAGTAAAGTTCAAAGTGTACATATTTAATCTTCTACTCTCTGGAGGCTTCCCAAGAGATCAAGTGGACTCTAGGCAGAACCCTTAGTGTCACCGAATGGGATCACACCACACAGTGTGGTCTTTCCGGGGCAGGGCAGTTTCCAACCTAAGCGACCCCTCTTCCGGGCTAGGGAGGTGAAGCAGCAGGAGGAGGAGCCCGAGATAGACGTGTGGGAGCTGCTGAAGAATGCCAACCCCAACGAGTACGAGAAGATCGCTTTCCAGTATGGCATCACCGACCTGCGTGGCATGCTGAAGCGGCTCAAGCGCATGCGCAGGGTGGAGAAGAAGAGCGCAGGTGAGCATGCCCAGGGACGTGGCGGAGGCTGGTCTGTCGCCTAGAGCTATGTGTCCAGTCTCATCCTGTTTCTCATCCATGAAGCAAGGCTCGGGGACCTGCAGGGGTTCATGGTTCCCCAGTTCACTTTGGCTTCAGGGGGAGTAGTGCTCTGCTGGTAGGGGCGTGGCCCAGGGTCCACCTTTATAGAGCCACGCATGCCACACAAGGAAGCAGAGGGCATCCTGTGGCCTCTGGGAACCTCTCGGAGCTCTCCATTTATTAGGCTCATATCTCCCTCACTGTGTGTCTCTGGATTCTTCCTCAGAGTTTGCCCCTCACACCCAATAAGGTTTCCGGGTCGGTTCACTTGGTTTGAAACACAAAGGTGGGGGGGGGGTTAGAATGGTGTGAGTTTCAAGTTGGCCTCCTGCGCTCCCAGCGTTTCTGCCCTGGATCGTTGTCGCAGTTCAGTTGTCTAATATGTCAGGGTGACATCTAACCTATGGTTGTTTCCCTTTATGTTCAGATGGGATTTGAATACTCTTATTGTGGCTTTTTGTAAATCTGGTCCTCACTTCTAAATGTCACCCTGAATTGGTTGAGAACCAGCCCCTGGGGAGTCTAGCGGCCCTGCCTGACATTTTCTTTGCACGGCTGAGCCATTCCCACTCTCGCAACCCTGCATCACGATTCCAGAAGCGACCGCTGAGGTGGAGAGCCAGCCGAGCAGCCCTTAGAAAGGCCGGCTGGCCTTTCTGAACAGAGTTCTGAATCCATGTGCTAGGTAACTGGTTGGGAATCTAACGTTCAGGTTTGCCTCTTTAAAATGAGAGGAGGTGAGAACAGACTCCCCAAAGTGTATTCAGACACCAGCTCCCCACATGCATGCAGGCACATACAAGATAAAGAAATGTAATTGAAAATTAGTATAGTGCTATCATTTCTCTTAAGCTTCCTTTAAAAACGCACAGCTTCTTTCACTTTTAAATCATCTTACTGCAAGCATGTCAACATAACCCTGAAATATAAGAGGTAACCTTCCATCTTTTCTCTTCCCCAAGACTCTTTTTTTAAAACTTGTTCTTAGATTTTTTTCATGCACACATTAGCTGTTTAAATTGGTTGCCTGTGTGTATACACATGGTCATATTTTTGTTTCTATTTACAGCCTTTGCAAAAATTCTCGATCCTGCGTATCAGATTGATAAAGGGGGCAGAGTGAGATTTGTTGTGGAGTTGGCAGATCCAAAGCTGGAGGTGAAATGGTTTAAAAATGGTCAAGAAATTCGGCCCAGCACAAAGTAAGTGGGTTTCGAAGGGTCCAGATGAACAGTAGTTTGACTTCCCTTTTAGGGACTAAAAGAACTTTTTTCAATACCTCTTCATAATATAAAACTGTATGGAAGGAAAAGAAAGGCTGAAGTCACTTTTCGTGTAGTTTGGAATTCTGAAAGTCACTGAAGTGCTGTGTAAAACTCATGTTTTCTGAGGCTATTTCAAGTGAGACACAGTTATTTTGTGTCACTATACATTATGTCACCTAAACTTCTCTCTATTCAAAATAATAAGACTTAGAAGCACTTGAAACACACATTTCTATGCCTGATGAAAATTGCATCTCATAATTAGAAGGTCTGGGGTTTTGTATTTGTTTTGGGGTCGACACACACACACACACACACACACACACACACACACAATAACATGAGTATTTGGTAGTGTTTGGACATCTTCTACTTGACACGGTTGGGAGTACACAGAGTATTGCATCTAAACAGAACTGCTTGATGTTAAGATAATGAAATTCGGGCCTAAGCCTGCGTTTTATTATGTCTTGTCCCTCTTCCAAAGGAAGGAGTCTGTTGTGTTACATGTGTTTTACTCTCTTGGTTTTTTGAGGGGCCCACTACTCAGCTCCCAAATAGATACATGAAGGCTTAAGCTTAGTTTGAATGCCCAGCCATAGCTTGGCCTGTTTCTAGCCAGCTTTTCTTATTTTTAAATTAACCCATCTACCTTTTCCCTCTGGGCTTTTGTCTTTTGTTCTTCTGCGTTTCTTTCTTCCCTTCTAACTCCGTGTCTTACTGTGTAGCTGGGTGGCTGATTCCTGACATCCTCCTTTTCCTCTTGCTGCTGCTTCTCCCTCGTTTCTCCTGTTTCTCCTCTCTGCCTGCCAGCCACACCTATCCTAGCTCCTGCCTCGATGTTGGCCATTCAGCTCTTTATTAGACCATCAGGTGTTTTAGGCAGGCACAGTAACACAGCTTCACACAGTTAAACAAATATAACATAAACAAAAGCCACACCCCTTGAAATAATGTTCTACCACAGAAATCAAACCGATCTCTGATGTTCCGTGGTTTTGTTAGTCTGTTGTAAAACTACTTCATAGAGATCTCCCAAAGCCTGGGAGATCTCCAGCCCTAACGTCCTGTTTTAAGTTAATACGTGTCACCTGTACACTAACCCAGACTTTAATTCCAGAAACCCTTTACTTTTAGAGTACAGTGAAGTGTTTCCAGCTTTCCCATGGGCTCAACCCTAACAGGATGACTTTCAGACGTAAATATTTATATGTGGTGCAAAAGTCTCTCGAAAACAGCCTGAATTCACTCAAACATGGTTTTTCCTAGGGTGGCTCTACTAGAAAATGGTGATTTGTTTTGCTCTTGAGTCTTCAATTTGAGATATTTCCCAACTTTTTTTTTGTCAGCTATAAAATACTCCATGTGCTTCTCCATACTCCACACATATAATTAGAATATTTTCTCTTCCTAACTTCTAGCTTTCTGTTTCTAAACTATTTTTTAAATGGATTTGATTTGATGTGCATTGGCGTTTTGCCTCATATGTATACCTGTGTACTATTTGTAGTTATGGAGGCCAGAAGTTGAGTTACAGAATATTGTGAGCTGCCACATGAGTGCTGGGAATTGAACCCAGGTCCTCAGGAAGAGCAGCCAGTGCTCTTAACTGCTGAGTCATCTCTCCAGCCTGGCATGTGATTTCTTAATAGAGAGTAACTGTGATACAATAGGCCCAGTGCTTACACTCATTTGAGAAACATATTTGCTGCTGATCTTATCAATCAAGGACAGTTATTGCTTAAATTGCACAATCATTTCTTCATCCAATAAAAATATCCTGTGTCCATGAGCTAAATGATAAAGGGATATGTGTAAGCAAGTATGATAAAGTGCCTGCCACTTTTGTAACATATGTAATTAATACATAATCATTTGAAGAATGTACAGAGTTAAAAATCTAACCCACTCAACCAACTCTATCTTCCAAAAGCAGGTTAAAAATTAACTATATGAGAATTTTTATATATATTTGTAATAAAGACTTATGTAAAAGAAAAGATTAACAAATTAAATAGTATATATAAATGAACATACTTGCAATGTATCATAAAAATAAAAATGAGCTTTGGTATGACATTAATTGAGCATATCAAATGTGCCACACAAATGGAAGTTCATAGGTTTATCCTTGATTCTCAAGTATGAACAAATTATAAGCCAAATCTGCTAATAAAGTAAAGAAAATGGAGACCACAAACTCTGCCTCCCTCCTGTTTAAACAGATACATCTTTGAACACAAAGGAAACGAGAGGATCATGTTTATTAATAACTGTGCACTGACAGATGATTCGGAATATTATGTGACAGCTGGAGATGAGAAATGTTCTACCGAGCTCTTCGTGAGAGGTAAGAAGAAATCTCCTCTTGCGCTATCGAGGGGCAAGGGATCTCCTCCCAGGGACACTGATCCAAAGGAGAGGCAAGGTAGCCACATCAGCCCGGAGCAGAAGCTTGCGGGTTAGGATGTCTCCATATTGAGGCTCCACTGTGTCAGCAAGTATCCTGAATCCTAGTTAGTCTTCTGATTTGTTGAAGAATAGAGCAGCTGAGGGGAGAGAAAAGCTGCTGCATGAAACTGCCTAGCGCTTTTTTGCTTAAGCCAAGCGCTACTTATTCTTCAAGATGGACATTTCAGTTATAGCCTCTGAAACCCAACAGGTTTTAATGGGTAGCCTGCATTTTGGCCACTTAGCTGAATACATGAAAACAGTTTCATCAGGAGGAGGTGCATCGTTCGCTGGAGTCAAAAGAGCAGCATTTACTAACCAGATGAAAAGCTGGGGGAGTCAGAAAATGCCAGGCTGACCTTGCTTCTCTATGAAGCCCTCTGGTTACAGATAACTCTATCCCTGACTTTGGTCAAGAGGGAAAATAGAAACCTTCAAGCATCGCGCGTTCTCCTCCATCCGCAGTGTCTACCCCCTGCTACCTTGCTTGATGAAGGCAGGATACTTGGCACACATTTTATGTGCTCTCCAGAACAACATTTGGTTTGAATACTTTTGAAACAATTGGCGGGAACTGATCCAGCACTGACAGCTGTTTGTTTTGCAGTGGACAAGCAGAGATTCTCACCTCCAATTCCCACCCCAGATTGATTATTCTTTCCCATTGCTGGATTTTCCTCTGTGAACAAACGGGTTCAAGACACAGGCTTCGGATGTTTAATGATTTTGGTTTCCCCTTTGCCAACTAGAGCCTCCAATTATGGTGACGAAGCAACTGGAAGACATGAACGCTTACTGCGGGGAGCGAGTGGAGCTGGAAGTTGAGGTGTCAGAAGACGATGCCAATGTAAAATGGTAAAGTGTTTTGTTGATGCTGTGTCTAATAGACAAAGAAAGCTTCTTCATAACCAATAGAGTGCAACATGGTTGTGTCTTCTAAGCATGAAAATGATCTCAACCCCTTTTGTATTAGCAGAGCTGATAATCAAAACCATACCATGATCTGAAAAGCCAGGTCTTGGAGATCTGTCTGGGCAGAGATGTAGGGAGGCAGGTACTTACTAGTAAATGGATCACACAGGTCACCCAAGAATTTTGACTGGAAATACCATGGGTATTCTTAAACTTTGTAGCAGTCCTTACTAGTAATATACATGGAAAATATCATGTATCTATTTTCCATTTAAATCCTCACTGGGGCGGTAACCCAGTGGGACAGCACTGCCTAGGATGTGCGAGGCCCAGACACCAGCCCTACCGCCTAAGCTTTCAACTTTCACCACTGCATTTTTTCAGTTCCCTAGAAAAATATGATTAGCTAAAAATCACAAACTCTTTTCAATTAAACAGAGCCAGGAGATGTGGCTTAGTGGTGATGCATAGTTACCTTGTTCAACACACGCACACACACACACACACACACACACGCATGCACGCATGCAAGAACGCGTGCATGTGAACAAAAATCTGAGGTGATGGGAAGTAAAGAGTCTTTTATTGTTTGCTTCCCAAGAGTTAGCTCAAAGTTAAAAACTAGAAGATTTAAGATTGTGAAATGAATTGTGATATTGAGAGGAATATGGCCAAGTACACAACAGTAGTTATTAGTGTGGAAAAGATTGTTAGTACTAATCTAGAATATGGATAACTTTAAAATGTGTTATGAGTTTGGAAGTGAGGCCAAGTTTATAATATATATTATATAAATTCATATTTATGCATATATATGATTTAGTTTGTTCCTCCCTTATTCCCTTCTTCCCACTGAACATCTTCCTCCTTCCTTCCTATCAATGCTAACTCAGGTTTAAGAATGGTGAAGAGATTGTACCAGGTCCAAAGTCAAGATACAAAATTAAAGTTGAGGGCAAGAAGCACATTTTGATCATAGAAGGTGCGACAAAGGCTGACAGTGCCGAGTACTCAGTCATGACAACCGGGGGACAATCATCGGCTAAACTAAGCGTCGACTGTAAGTCAGACACCTTTGATGTCTTCTAAACTGACAAATGAGATTGTGCTCATGAACTCAGTTGTAGGAAAGTCTCAATCTGCTAGATCTTTTACCCATGGCATTTTAAAATATGCAGAATTGGACCACACTCTAGCCAAGTATCATATCAAAGTCTCTTAGAAAGAAATCAATGCCAGGTAGTGGTAGTGCAGGATGCAGAGGCAGACAGATCTCTGTGAGTTCGAGGCCAGCCTGGTCTACAGAGTGAGTTCCAGGACAGCCTCCAAAGTAATTCAGAGAAACACTGTCTCAAAAAAAATTAAAATTAAATACAGAGCAGACATCTTTCTTCTTTACTCCTTTGTTGGTCCAGAAGAAACAATTTCAACATTCTCCATATGTTGATATCAAAATGGGTGTGGACCACAGGCAGATTTTTATCATTCAAAGTAATTATAGTCAGTTTTGCCTTCATGTGTGTATCTATTTCTAAAAAATCATTGTTATGCAAATTCATGTGATAATAACTACAGGACTTATGGAATAGATAAGATTCGGGCCTTTACACTGAAGAACCTCTGCTAGGCACCATCAAAAAGGAAAGGGTGGAGAAATGGCTCTGTGGTCTAAAGCATGTGTGGCTCTTGCGGAGGGTCCAGTGTCTGTTCTCAGCACCCACATAGTGGCTCTCGGTCATCTGTAGCTCCAGTTCCAAGGGGTTCAACGCCTTCTCTGGCCTCAAGGCATACGCAAGGTGTATTTGCATAGATGCAAGTAAATACTCATAAAAATAAGTCTTTAAAAAAATTTTTAAAACCCAATGACTTCACTCAGAAGAACAAAACATTGTCACAGTTTCTCTCATGTTAAATTGTTGGTAAACACAGTACTTTCCCTTGGAAGGGGCCTGAGATTTGCTTGTGGGTGTGGCGCTGGGATGCATCATGAAGCAGCATGAGGAGTGTTTGATATCAGATGAGCAGTCGTAACCTTAGACGTGAGTGGATGTGGCTCGTGCCTTATGGGTGAACGAGACAGATATTCGAGGTGATGGAACTTGTGTTCCGCTTAGTTCTGCTCGGTTACATCATCTGCGCTGGGAAAAGCGCCACCTTCGAAGCATGTGTCACGGAAGAACTGACAGGACACTGAAGAGCCACCATGTTAGCTTGTCTGGAGTTGGTCTGCGGGTCCCTAACGCTCTCTATCTCTGTAGTGAGGCCTCTTAAGATCACAACACCTCTGACCGATCAGACTGTAAAACTTGGAAAAGAAGTGTGTTTGAAGTGTGAAATCTCTGAAAATGTGCCAGGAAAATGGACAAAAAATGGGCTCCCTGTTCAGGAGAGTGACCGTTTGAAGGTTGTTCACAAAGGAAGGTAAGCAAGCCGGGTGGGCCGTTCGTAAGGAATTAGCCGCATTCACTTTCCCTACTCCCTAAATTGCACATCCTACTTGAGATCCTCTTACACCTCCTGCTATGGTGCACCATCCAAGACCTGTCAACGGCACCATCTGAACATGTGGGTAGAGGAATTACTGAATTCTAGTTGAGGACCTGACCAATTATCAGCTAGCCCTAGTGTTCACCGATGTAGGAGACCATTGGTTTGGACTGAATTCCTGCACCGGGCCCAGCAAACCAAATAAACATGGAAGTACCCACGCTACAGTTTCACCCTGCCTTGCTCAAACCAAGGTGCTCATGTGAGTTTGCAGAAACTGAGATAGGGAGGACTAATACCAGACCTTGAACGGGACATGTTGAGCTGACGTGATGAGGGAGTTCCCTCTGCTTGGGAAGAACCTACATTGTGCTGTCTGGTGCTGCTTCCCCCACCCTGTGTCTTTAATACCAACCTCCTCTGTCCAGTTTCTAGGAGCACTCATTCTATTTTATGGCATTTGTTGCCTGGTTCCAGAATGCAAATACATGTCAGTTAAGATCCTTATACCCTGTGGCAGGAGAGGTTCAGTGGTTAAAAGCACTGGCTGCCCTTTTAGAGGTCCGGAGTTCAATTCTCAGCATCCACATGGTAGCTCACAACTGTCTTAATTCTAGTATCAAAGGCTCTGATGCCCTCTTCTGGCCTTCACAGGCACTGCATGGACACCGTACACAAACATACATGCAAACAAAACACCCGTACGCATACAATAAAATAAATTTTTTGAAACATGGTTTCTCTGTGTAGCACTGGTTGTCCTGGATCTCTCTCTGTAGATCAGACTGGCTTTAGACTCACATAGATTTACCTGCTTCTGCCTCCTGAGTGCTGGGATTAAAGGCATGTGCCACCACCACCAAGATAATAAATAAATCTTAAAATAAAAAACTTTGCACAATAGTTATTGTCAGCCTTTAATAATAATAACTATTACATAACTTTCCTTCTATTTTTGTTTTCTTGTGGGAGGCATAATTGCCTAGAATCTAGTAAAGATTTAAGGCAAAAAACATTGAACCTTGACTCAAGAACTCTCGCCAGATCACATGTAGATTTATGGAACTTAAAAAGTTCTCTAAAATTTTATATATATACAAAAATACACATATCCATAACATCGTAGAATGTCCTTCGTGTGTTACTAGATGTGTGTCTGTATTAGCACATCTGTGTGAGTGCTGAGGAATGAATCCAGGCCTTCACACATGCTAGGCTGATGCTCTACCACTAAGTTACACCCCTAGACCCCAAATGTACACTCTGCTCAGTGAGAAGATCCATAGACTCCATCCAGTCTTCACTGACTCACGACCTGCTAACCTAGGAACTATTCCTCTTTGATACATAAAGCCACAGTGAGTGTTTTCCTTTGTAATTTCTTGAATGTTTAAGTGTCACATATATTAAGCTGCTATGTTTTGTTATCTTTCAAGTTGAGACAAGAGAATAGTAGAGACTTGCATACATAATAAGCAGATACAATTGCAGAGATATTTTCATATACTCCAAAACAGATCTTATTTGGTCAATAAATAGAATAACCCTCATCTCTCCACGTCCCCTATTTCTCTCTCTCCTATATGAAGTGAGTGCCTTCAATAAAGGACAGGTCTCTTCAGTTTGGGTCATGTACACTCTACGCCCTTGCAAAGTGCTAGAAATCTGTTTTTCCTATTTCTTCAGAATCCACAAATTAGTCATAGCCAATGCTCTCACTGAAGATGAAGGTGAATACGTGTTTACACCAGATGCCTACAATGTTCCTATGTCTGCCAAAGTTCATGTCATTGGTGAGTAGATCAGAGAAATTATCATATAGCTGTTCACTTGCTTGCTTACCTTGAACTGTAATGTATCAAAAGCTATATGAGCTAAAAGATTCATTATAAGTAGCCAATTTAAGAATCTAACAAGAAGCAGTTTATAAGGTGCCAAACACCAACTGCTGGGATGACTCGCATATATACTTTTATCCAGGTTAAAAGTGATTGTTACCAATGTTATCAGTAACCAACCACTAGCCAAAACATCACATGGAAATGACTGTGTGATGACAAAAGCTATGCTGTATATTCCAGATCCTCCCAAGATCATCCTGGATGGCCTCGATGCTGACAACACCGTGACAGTGATTGCTGGAAGCAAGCTTCGTCTTGAGATCCCTGTCACAGGGGAACCGCCTCCCAAAGCCATCTGGAGCCGAGCAGACAAGGTCTCTCTCTCTCTCTCTCTCTCTCTCTCTCTCTCTCTCTCTCTCTCTCTCTCTCTCTCTCTCTCTCTCTCTCTCTCTCTCTCTCACACACACACACACACACACACACACACAAACAGCTCAACTCCTTGTCCCTTGGCCCCACGATTCAGGTGAAGGGAAAAGGTGTAAGTCAACATGTCTATCTGAACACTGGAGACAGAGGCAGGCAGATTTCTGTGAGTTTGAAGCTAGCCTGGTCTACATAATGAGTTCCAGGACAGCTACAAAGTGAGACCCTGTCTCACACCCCCACACACACACACAAAAACTCCCCTTCTTCACATAAAAGAGTACATTATGGGTATAATTCTTTCAAAAGGAAATGTGGCATGTGGCCTGGTTTTCAGGTAAATCTATTAATCACTTATTTTCGTATTTGGCCAGCATGACTTTGTGAATTATGGACATGGTCCCACCTCATATCCCATGGGTGTCCTGGGGCGAGAAGAAGAGAGTAGAGAAGTAGTAAATACGTAAATAAATTAAGGGACATAATCACTTTGTATGGTAAGAAGTGCTATGAAATAATAAGAGGATATGCTAAGCTGGGTATGTGTCATACACCATAGCAATTACACTGAGCAGGGCAGGAGCACTCAAGATCAGCCAAGGGTACCTAAAAAGACCCATCTCCAAAAATCCTAATAATAGCTGGGCGGTGGTGGCGCACGCTTTTAATCCCAGCACTTGGGAGGCAGAAGCAGGCGGATCTCTGTAAATTCGAGGCCAGCCTGGTCTACAGAGTGAATTCCAGGACAGCCTCCAAAACAATACAGAGAAACCCTGTCTCAAAAAACAAAAGAAAACCCTAATAATAATCAGTGTAATAATAATATATAACAAGGAAAAGACCAAACGCATTCTGTGATAGCAGGTGGCTGTATAGGCGCCGTGGCCGGAGTTGCTGACGCAAAGAACTCTGAAGGGAAGAGATTGCCTGGTGAAGGCCATGCCAAGGTCAAGGACAGAGAATGAATTCCATGTGTGGGAGGCCTAGAAAGCCAGGGCTGCTGGGACACATAGGCCAGGAGGAGAAAAACAGAAGAGGTGGGCAAGGAACCTCAGATTGAGCCACCCCTGGCTTCCTGCCACCAAAAAAATTACATTTAAAAACAGGAGAGGTGGGCAAGTAATCTCAGATTGAGCTACCCCTGGCTTCCTGCCACCAAAAAAAATTACATTTAAAAACAGGAGACTTCCTGCCAAAATGGAACAGGAACCTGATTTATATTCTCACGTAGGTAATCCCCAAACTGACAAAATTGTGGGAACACTTATTTTCCGGACATTGGAGTCAAGTTATGAAAGATAACGACTCCGAATCTGCCCTCTGAGTGAGGATGGTCTATATCTGCCTTGCTTAGAGAGTTCTCCTGGGATGGGGAATGTGCTTAGGGGTTGAGCAGCATGTGTTCCTAGCAGAGGAGAGAAGGAGGAGAGGAGATACTTCAGTTTCACATAACGTGCAAGGAGGAGACACCCAGACAGAACCCAAAGACTGTTTAGGAATTTTTATTCCAGGAGCCCAAGCTCGTCAGACATGTGCCAGAGTAGAAAGCTGCACCAATCAAGCCCTGGGGCTCTCTGGCCAGTGCGGTGGCCTCTAATCCCAGCACTCTGGAGGCAGAGGCAGGCAGATGTCTGTGAGTTCAAGGCCAGCCTGGTCTACAGGCCAGTCAGGGCTATAGAGTGAGACCCCGGCTCAATAGATCAGAGTTTGGGGTTGCAGCTGAGTGATTTAAGATTTTAAAATATAAGTAGAAGAGTACAATAGAAAGCTCAGCTTTTCTCTGCCAATTGGAAATTAGTCCTTCTTCCATGCCCTTATCTGAAGTGGAAACTTGGGGCTGGAGAGACGGTGCAGTGGTTAGGAGCACTGACTGCTCTTGCAGAGGACCCAGGTGTCAGTTCCCAGCACCCACGTAACAGCTCACAACCACCTATAATTCCAGATGCAGGAGATCTGGTGCCCTCTTCTGACTGTTAGGGGCACTGCATGTACATGGTGAAGAGACATCTGCAGGCAAAACAACCATGCTTATAAAATAAAAACGAATAACTCTGGAGGGAAAAGAAATAGGAACTTAATGTTAACTGGAGTGGAAGATTATTCCTGCACCATTCTTCAGCACCATCCACCCTCCTCCATGCTTTTTGTGGGTCTTTTCTTTGTTTATAAGACAAGACCTCATTATATATGTAGCTCTGGCTGGCCTCAAACTTGTTAAGTAGACCAGGCTGACCTTGAACTCACAGAGACCCACTTCCAGAGCTCTGAGACTAAAGATGGATGCCACCACTCTCAGCCTTCTCAATGTTTTCAAGCTCTCAAGACATCCATATAAATCAAACTCATGAGTCTCTGATACGAGTTAGTGGGATTTTATACATAAAGAGGCTTGCTCCCTAAAAGGACACCTTCCACACTTGTGTTTTTCTGCCTTCCAGCTTTCTCTGGGTAAAGTGTGTGGTTAATGGGCTTTCAAATGGAGATCCACCTCTCTCCCTCCCAACCATGAGGGCTTTGAGCATGTGAAATCTGGGTTTCCACATGTGTAAATGGGTTAACTGGAGTAGGTGAAGACTGACCCTATAATGCGTAGGTTAGGCTCTCCGTCCCGCCTGCCCAGGGTCCTCGGGTCTGCCTGCCTGGGGTCCTCCGGTGCTCTGCAGCGGCTCCTGTCAGTCCATCATGCCATGTTTGCCTCTTCCTTGTCAGGCTATTATGGAGGGCAGTGGCCGGATCAGGGCGGAATCCTACCCTGACAGCAGCACGCTGGTCATTGATGTGGCAGAGAGAGATGACTCTGGTGTGTACAACATAAATCTGAAAAACGAAGCTGGAGAAGCGCATGCAAGCATCAAGATTAAAGTTGTGGGTAAGCTCTCCAGGGAACCGGCCTCCAGCATTGGGCAGGCAGGAGGAAACCGGCATCTCTTTGTGCTACGTCTATTATTTGTCTCTTTGCGTTACCTTCCTCCCTCTTATTTTTCTTATATAGTGAGCTTCTAACTGGAGGAACTGAATAGTTAGGGGCATTTGGGACTATTGGTCATTAGTTCTTCAAAGTCATCATCTCTTTGGGAACCCTCTAAAATTAATGTTTTTACAATGAAGATATAATTACATTGTTTTACCCCTCTCTTTTCCTCCACCCAGCTCCCCCTTTTCCCCCCAACACCCTCTCAAATTCATGGTCTCTTTCAATTCTTACACACACACACACACACACACACACACACACACACGCACGCACGCATGCACAGACGCACGCACTCACGCACACACTCACCAAATACGTGTGTAGAAACACAGCCTGCTCAGTCCATTCAGTGTTATTTGCATGTGTATGGTCTCTGGACTTACCTCTTAGTATTGGATAACCAATTGGGGGCTCATCCATGGGAAGACTGTTTCTCACCATTCCTTAGTTGCCTTGGCAGCTCTTTGTATATGGGGAGAAGCCCCGTGAGCACTCGCCTTCCACATTAGCCTGTCTATTGGTGCTATGCTTAGAGTGGACCATGTCTTCTCATGTGACAGTTTTCAAGGATTTTAGACATTGTTATATTTATTTTCACTAAGCTCTTTTCCCTTTACCCTGTATTGACATATTGTCCAGGATAATTTTTAAATGCATTTCAGATAAGAAAAGACAAATAAACAAACAAAACCACATTTACTATCAACACTTTTCTGTTTTGTCTACAACAGACATCCCAGATCCTCCAGTAGCACCAAATGTGACAGAGGTGGGAGATGACTGGTGTATCATGAACTGGGAGCCTCCTGTCTACGATGGAGGGTCACCAATCCTGGGTAACTATAGACTGGGAGCCTCCTGTCTACGATGGAGGGGCACCAATCCTGGGTAACTATAGACTGGGAGCCTCCTGTCTACGATGGAGGGGCACCAATCCTGGGTAACCATAGACCGAGCAGCCCGTGTGCAGCTGCCATTCTCTCAATGCATATTAGAACAGAATGCGTTCTGGAAATTGAGTCTAGGAAAAAACCTGTTGAGTTGGTAGTGTCCTGGCCTAGCCTACAGGAGGCTCTGAATTCAGTTCTTAGTAAGAGGAGGAGACAGTGCTTGTTATAATACATACTGTGACTTCAAATACCTGTTGAAATTGAAGTATCTATTGTGAAGTTCCACGATTCCTTGGGATTTGAGCGGCTCTGATGCATGCCCTCTGACCTCCTGCTCTCTTGCTTGCTCTTTTCACTCAGCAACTACTTCTGAGGCAGCTCCCAGTCTAATTCCCATTGTTTTGCTAGTGAACACCATAACACTGTGTTTTAGTTACTGGCCTATTGCTCTGAAGAGACACCATGACCAAGGAAACTCTTATAAAAGAAAGCATTTCTCTGGGGGCCATCTTAAAGTTTTAGAAGGCTAGTCTCTGATCATCATGGTGGGAGGCAGACAGGCATGGTACCAGAACTTTATATCACTCAGAACTTTATATCCTGATCAGCAGCCAGCAGGCAGGGAGTTGGGTCTGATGTGAGCTTTGCGGGGGTTGGGGAGAGATATTGTCATTCAAACCACCACAGATTGTGTCATGGAATTTGCCTCCTCGATGGAGAAACAATTTTTCCTATGGTGGTAATAAAATTCACAAAACTGATCTGTTTTCCTTTATTTCCATGGCTGCAACCTTCTGGGTTCTTGACTGTAGATTGCACCACCACAGTGACTATGTTGCTGGGAACTACATGTCTCTGATTCATTTTTTTTCTTTTTCTAGTACAACTGTATTTTTTCTAGTCCCATTTTTTTTTTGGTTTTTGTTTTTGTTTTTGTTTTTTTGGTTTTACAAGACAGGGTTTCTCTGTATTGTTTTGAAGGCTGTCGGTCCAGCCTGGCCTCGAACTCACAGAGATCCTCCTGCCTCTGCCTCCCGAGTGCTGGGATTAAAGGCATGTGCCACCACCGCCCAGCTCCCATTATTTTTTTTAATCTGTATTTTACAAAGTTCACATTTGTGTTATCTGATCTCTAATAACTGATGGAATAAGGTGCAGTAAAATATAAATGCATTTGTCTACTTCACTCAGTCTGATTAGAACGTATAAAATGTTTAATAAAGTTTAATTTTGGAGACAAGATAAAAAACCCGAGTCTCTACTTTGTACACTGCAGGGTACTTTATTGAGAGGAAAAAGAAACAAAGCTCTAGGTGGATGCGTCTGAATTTTGATCTCTGCAAAGAAACAACTTTTGAGCCCAAGAAGATGATTGAAGGTGTGGCCTACGAGGTCCGCATCTTTGCGGTCAATGCCATTGGCATCTCCAAGCCCAGCATGCCATCCAAGCCCTTTGTTCCTTTGGGTGAGTCAAGGGAATTGTCTCTGTTGTGGAAACCACTGCCCCCAGATTATTATTACTGCTTCCCTTCTGACTTCCAAATGGGGATGGCCTGGAACTTCTTAGAGAGGCGGGTGGGGAATAGCCAGACATGGTTAAGGGTGATACTGTAAGAAATCCCAAACAGACGTTGGAGAAGTTCAACATCTTCAGAATGTAGGGCCTGGAATTCATTTGAAGAACTACAGTGAGAATGGTGGGTGGCCCACTGCCATTCTTGACTGCAAACATGAAGCTGAGTCTATGTGATCACTCTCCAATGTCCTTCCTAACGTGTCACAGGCCAAGCAAGCTACACTGGCCAGTGAGCCTCTGTCTTACCTTCACCTTCGTTTATGACTGCATCTTAAATTTACCTATGAAGCATCAACAAAAAGTCCAGCGAAGGCAAATGAGAGATAAGCTGTCTCCATGTTTCATTGTATTTAATTATTCCTTAGGAAATAGAAAATTCAGTACAAGAGTGTTTAAAATGGCAAGTCTTAGGGCTGCAGAGATGGTTCAGTGACTAAGAGTAGGCATTGCTCTTACAGAGGGCCTGAGCCCCACCCAGCATCCACATGGGCCAACCTCATAGCTATCTCTAATTCCAGCTCTGGAGAATCCGACAACTCTCTCTCCTGAGTGCTGAGCACCTGCATGTATGGGCAGATAGCCCCCTCCCACATATATACACATAATTAAATTAAAAATATTTAATGTTATAGGGCTATGGGAACTTTGGATTGTTAGATTGCTTTCTCTAACTCCCTTTAGCTGCTTAGCGTTTCACACAAACTTTCCAAGCTGGAGAAGGAGCGTGGCAGTCTTTCCGGGATTGTCTCATCAGTCTGGCTTGCACATGACCATGCTCAGGGAGTTCTCACTGGATGTTAGCACAGTTGCATTGCCGTCTGTCTTACTGCAGGCGCTCTGCCGTGGCTCCACACTCATGGTTTTCTTCTTTTTCTCGCTTTTGTGTTCTTAGCGGTGACCAGCCCTCCTACTCTCCTGGCTGTTGACTCTGTCACTGACTCATCCGTGACAATGAAGTGGAGGCCGCCAGACCAGATTGGCGCAGCAGGTTTAGATGGCTATGTGCTAGAGTATTGCTTTGAAGGAAGTAAGTACACCTAGAGGTTACAGTGAATACCGTCAGCGCTAGGTGAGATATGCCTTGCTTTCTTTTGTCTTTCTTGGGAAACCATCGCTTTCTTACTGAAAAATGATACCAAGCCAAAGGTCATCTTTCTGAGATGCAACGGATGTAGAATTCCTCTGGTATTTAATGCTGTATGTTTAGATGCTAAAAATGGCTGTAAGGTGGGTATCCCCACTGGGCTGGCGTAGGAGGATGGCCTTTTGACAAAGATATGGGGCATCCGTTTCCAGGCTCAGTGCAGCTGCTGTGTGCCGCTGCTGAGTACTGAATGGCCAAGCACAGGGGGATAGACTATGTGACCATCCAGTGAGCACGTCCTTCCTTCTTAAAGAGGGGAAGAATCAAAAGCAACTCTTGATTTTAAGGGGCTAGGACTAGATCCCAGAGAGCATGAACAATGCATTCAGAATATGGCAATGACTATCTTAAGACTTGAACAAATTAAAATTAAATTTTGGAGGGGAAAGGAAAGAATCCAAAGAGCCCCTCTGATTAAAGTAAAAAAGAGAGAGAAGTAAAATGTCACAGGAAACCAAAACTGAAAGGGTGTGATATTCACTCATGGCCTAGTGGTTTAATTTCCTGCTTGCCGTGGCCAGAAGAAAATGACATTTGAAAATGGATTGGAGGTGTAGCTCACTGGTAGAGTAATTGTCTAGAGTGTGGTAAGTCCAAATAGGAAAAAGAAAGGGAAAGGGAAGGAAGGAAGGAAGAAGAAAGGAAGAAAGGAAGGAAGAAAGAAGAAAGGAAGAAAGGAAAGGGGAAGGAAGGAAGGAAGAAAAGAAGGAAGAAGGAAGGAAGGAAGGAAGAAGAAAGGAAGGTAGGAAAGGAATAACAGGCAACGGGTGAACGAGACAGACAGAAAGAGCCCTGGCTGTAGACCCTGGCTCCTCTGTGGCTGACAGCAGGCAGATGGTCTCCCATGGAAGCTTACTGAGATCTCACTAAACAAAGACCAAGAATTAACCTCTAAGGTCACTCTTTGGACCCCAAACTTTAAGACTGAAGCTCCCCAAGAAGGAAAGAAGCATCAATGCCTTTGGGAATCAAGAGTGTAAACACTAATGGGTGTCCCAGGAGGAGACTCACTGGGGAGAAGAAACTTCATGAAGAGCAACTGTTGAAGTCCCAGCCTGCAGTGGGGCCCCGGCAGAAAGGACAGCTGCGACTCAGGAAGAAGTGGAGATGGGGATGCAGCACCCGCCTCTGAATTTCTTTTACCCGGCCTCATTCTACTTACCACAGTCTTCGAGCTTCAGAAGGATCCAAAACCAGTGGGGGGATCTTACAGGAACAAGGCCCAGGGTTAGCACGGTGAAGGATGTGGGTATTGTGACAAACTCAACAAGGAAAGCCTGCAGCATTTCCGAGTATGGTTTGTTTCCATTCTGTTGTCCCGAGCTTTCCATATCACCCACCCTGCAGAATTCCCTAAGGTTTATGTGCTGGGGCTTCTGAGCAAGCCCCTTCTGTATGTGTATGAAACAGAGCAAATTCTTTACTCTTTTCTTTCTGATAGGTTTAAAAAGTAAGAAGATACAGCAAAATGATAGATGCCTGTCATTTTGATGTTACCCACCTTAGATAAAATACAACGAAGTGTATTTTACATAATCTCGTGTGTGGTCTGTGTAGATACATATGTATATGAGGATATACATATGTATATGTACACGGTCATTGATGTATATATTCTGCCACATAACATGTCGGTATTAGCTTTCTATGGACTCTCTTTCATAACGTGTATCTCTCTCCTCGTAGTCTTTCCTGGTTTTCTTAATGTGGCTGCCTGGTTCTTCATTCTCTTTTAATGGCTGCTCTTCTTCGAACTAATTTCTCAAGTGTTTGATGCTTTTGGATGTCAGGTTTAGTCTGTGAAAGTCTTTCTTATGTAAGGTTGTGTGCATTTATTATTATTATTCTGCATTTTCTGTTTTATTTTTAATGCCTGAAGCATTTTATTCTTGTCGCCTTCATTCTAGTTCATTCTTTTCTTAAAATAGACCTCATGCGATAAACAATTTGCACAGTTCCTCCGCCACCCCACAGGCATCCTTTTCTTTCTCTTCCCCTCAGGTAGCTTGGACATGAAGAGATGGGCTATTTTTGTTCCCCTTCCATTTTTTCATCTTTTCTCTTTTATCTGTTCTTTGTTCCTTTGTGTTTTTTCTTGTCTCTTGTTTTCACTTTCCCATCCACTGAGTCTTGCCTACGAAACTGGCACAAAAACTATCAAGGAGAGCACTTGTTGAAAGATGTATCTTTTTTCAAAGTCATAAGCGGTTTTTATCATCCAATGCCCTCTCAGCTGTCAAGATAGCAAACTTCCCTGATAGTCCCGATAAGGCTGGGAAAAGAGGGAGGGAGACTAAGGTTCCTGGGGGTAGCCACTCTGGACTCCTTGCCCCAGCTAATCTCCTGGGTACCAAAAATAAGGTATACCATTCCAAACCACTGGGATAAGCCTCAGAGCATCCTGTGAGCCCTTCCCATGGAATATAGGGACACAGGAATATCCCGTTTTGTCTTCTTGATGCAGAGTTCGTTGTCATGGTAACCAGGGTTACTCCCTGAGCTGCTGGGCCTGACTCCATTTCTATGTGTTAAGGCCCTGCTGAGTCCTGGCAAGATGGTACTAATGTGTCCTCCTAGACCCTGGGGAGAGAACCCCACCGTGGAGGCATCATGTTTCCTGGGGGACTGGAGAAGAACAGGCTGCTCCCTCAGGACTCCGGAAGTGACTCTTCCTTTTTCTTCATGGTCTTGTTTTGCTCGATAGCTCTTCTTCCCACCTGTGAAGGTGTCCCAGCCTCTCTCCTCTTCTTTTCTTCTGTGGGCCAGGGGCCTGCAGACAAAACCCACAGGCTGTGCAGAGGAAGGCGTGCCTCCCCTTAACATGTCTGGTCTCTTGCGTCACTACTCTGGACAGGCCTCTTTGTCTACTTTGCACACTTTACTAACAGAGAATGCTGTCTGCTGATGCGATATTCTTCTGATGTGGAAGTGGGTGTCTTTAATTAATGTATTGACGGATTCTCAAAGGTACATCAGCCAAACAGCCTAATGAGAATGGGGAGGCTGCGTATGATCTACCAGGTAAAGTATCTGCGAAGCTCTCAGACTTCCCTACTCTTTGACCCCTATCTGGAATGTTCCATGACCTTACATGAAGGACCTTCCCACCACCTCCACACAGAAGTCCATAGAGTTGGGGGGAAATAGGGAACTTTCTCATTGGGGTCCAAGACTTCTCTTTTCCCAGTGGTCATTTCTGACTTAGAAACTGAAATACTTGTATGTCACGGATGCTAGGATTAAAGTCTTTTGATGTTACAGAATGTGGACGAAGCTACCTATTGCTGCAAAAGAAAATTCAATTTTTGATTGAAGGAAAGGGTTGTGCCAACTCATGAAATATCAGGTCATGAGCCTCCTTTCCTCTTTATAGTAGAATTGGCTTTTCTTCATGAATGCAAATGATCAGATTCTTTATGTTCACATTAATGCTTCATGATAATAAGTCAGCTGAGATAGAACAGAGACCACGTGGCAAGAATAGTACCTTTCCTTCATGAGATGGGCAAATTCCTGTCTTTCTGAATTTTAAAGTTTGTCAAGGCCTAAATATCAAGATTATGTCAAGCAGTGTGGAACCAAGTTGGAGTAAAGCTTCTACAAAATTATTGGGAACACATACTATATTATTCAAGGCACTTTATTGCTAAGTAAGATTTTTTTTAGAAATAACAGTCTAATTTAACTCTTCCTGTTGTTTATGCTAGCCATCTGGGGGCATTTTTTTCAGTCGAGCCCAAATCATATTCTTTCTGAAGGGTTTGAGTATGAATGAAATGCTAAGTTGGAGTTGGCTGTGGGTAGCCTGGGATGGCTTCTCTCACTAACCACTGCCCCTGCTTCTTTTCTTTTTCTTTTACTGGCCTTAGCTGAGAACTGGATAGTTGCAAATACAGACCTGATCGACAAGACAAAGTTCACCATCAATGGTCTGCCCACGGATGCAAAGATCTTCGTACGTGTGAAGGCCATTAACGCAGCTGGGGCAAGTGAGCCCAAATACTATTCCCAGCCCATTCTTGTGAAGGAGGTCATAGGTGGGTCATTTTTTTTAACTAACCTTAATTTTTTTTATTTATTACATTCCAATCCCAGTTTCCCCTCCCTCCTCTCCTCATGCTCTCCCCTTCTTCCCCCCATCCCACCTCCCATCCCTTCCTCAGAGAGGGTAAGGCCTACCCTAGGATATCAGCTAAGTCTGTCCCATCACCTCTTTGAGACAGAACCAAGGCACCCCTCCCCACGTCTAGGCTGAGCAAGGTGTCTCTTCATAGAGAATGGCTCCTGAAAGTCAGTTTATGCATTAGAGTTAGACGTTGGTCCCACTGCCATTGGCCTCATATACTGCCCAAGCCACCCCATGGCCACCTGTATTCATAGTTCAGTCCTATGCTGGCTCCCCAGTTGACAGTGCAGTTAGTGATCTCTCACTAGCTCAGGCCAGCTGCTTCTGTGGGTTTCCCCATCGTGGTCCTGACTCCTTTGTTCATATTATCACTCCTCCCTCACTCCCTCTTTGGGAAGTTTGGCCCAATGTAGTTATAGATCTGCACATGTGCTTCCATCTGTTTCTGGAAGAAGGTTCTAGTTTCTCTTGGGTTGTGGATTGTAGGCTGGTTATACTTTGCTTTATGTCTGGTATCCACTTATGAGTGAGTCCAAAGGAGGCATACTCACGCCACAAGCACATTTGCTCAACTATATTCATAGCAACATTATTCGTAATAGCTAGATCTTGGAAATATCCTCGATGCCCTTCAACCAAAGAATGATAAGGAAAATGTGGTACATTTACACAATGGAGTACTGCTCATCGATAAGAAACAATGACATCTTTACATTTTCAAGCAAATGGACAGAACTATAAAAAAAAAAAAACAACAGATCCAGAAAGAGAAATACAGCTCTACTTTTTCCATTTTTGCTTTTACCTTTTAAAATCTCTTTACTGTGTGGGGGAGATGGATCAGCCAGTAATACCCTCCTGCAAGCATGAGGACTTGAGTTGGATCACCAGAGCCCACATAAGAAAGCCAGTCATGACTGGGTGGTGGTGGTGGCGGCGGCGCACGCCTGTAATCCCAGCACTCGGGAGGCAGAGGCAGCCGGATCTCTGTGAGTTCGAGGCTGGGCTGGACCGACAGCCTCCAAAACAATCAGAGAAACCCTGTCTCATAAAAAAAAATGAACAAAACAGTGCTTTTTAGGCAGTTTAGGAGGTCAGCTCTGAGTTTTTATAATTTAGTACTCAGAAGACCAGTTAAATGACTTGACCAGATTCTCTGAACCAACTGCAGTGGGACTGTACCTACACTCTCGCTAGTGGGACTGCAAAGTCACAATCACTTTCATGATGACAGATGCATCCGGGCCCTTTTCAACATGCTTGCATCTGCCCTGACAGTGTAAATGAAGCCCCTGGCAGTGTAAATGAAGCCCCTGGCAGTGTAAATGAAGCCCCTGACAGTGTAAATGAAGCCCCTGACAGTGTAAATGAAGCCCCTGGCAGTGTAAATGAAGCCCCTGGTGTCTTTGCATGAGTCCAGCAGTGGCACAGAGCTGTGACAGCGCCCACCCCACCCCGCCAAGTACTCGCGTTAAAGAGAAGGCTAGGTTTTTGCCTTAGCGTGTTGTTGATCAAACATAAAAAAATGTTAATTATGTTCATCTTGGTCCGTGAATCCATAACTTTTTTTCTGGACTGGAAAGTAACTCAAAATTTGGTTTTCTCTTTGTACTGTGTGGGTTTCAGGGTTGAACTCAGATCATCAGGCTTGTACACTTGCATCGATAGCTTTTCAACACTTAAAACTATTGATTGATACAGTGGTCCTACAACAGATAAAAATTTTTAAATATTATACATTAAAACATCAGCATTCAGAAGATCTGCACGATTCTATATAGTAGCTATTGCCAAATGACCAATGCATATAAAAAAATCAAGTATGGAAGGTGGTCGTAGCGTTATATGCACTTAGTCTCAGCTGCTTGAAAGACTGAGGTGGGGGATTGCTTGCCCTCAAGTTATCTAAGTACTCAAATACTTTCTTTTTTATCATTTTACTTTCTCTTATGTTTATGAGTGTTTTGCCTGCTTGTACGCCAGGATGCCATGTTTGTGCCTGGTGTCTCCTATATTGGAGTTATAGTTGTGAGTTACTGCATGAGTCCTGGGAATCAAACAGGAGCCACCAGAAGAACAGCCAGTGCTCCTAAATGCTAAACCATCTCTCTAACCCCATAAAAACACATCTTAAAAATAAATAGCTACACAGAGAAATCCTGTCTCAAAAATGAAAAAAACGCAAATAAATAGATAAATAGATATCTGTACTTCAAGAAAACGGTTTGGACCAAATTCGCTAAGTGTACTGTTAGTGAAGCATCTAAAACTGCGTGAAGAGATGTGATCCCAAGGACGGGTCATGAGCAACCTGCCATCCCACCTATGCGAGGCCGTTTCCAGGATGCTGCACTGATGTACAACTGTGCTTTCCCACCCTTTCCCAGAGGCACCAAAGATTCGCATCCCAAGGCACCTGAAGCAGACTTACATCCGCAGAGTTGGAGAGGCTGTCAATCTGGTTATCCCCTTCCAGGTAAGAAGTGGGAAGCTCTCACGTGCCTTCCCAGGGCGGGAGTGTTTAAAAGGTACAGCGAGGTGGTCTAGCCTTTAAGTTCATCATGATTCAGAATTCCCTCAGAAAGACTGGGTCAATAATAGAAAATGCCACGAACCTGTCAGCTTTGAGTTCTTCAGGACACAGAGATCTTGTCCTGCCTGAAGACTGGGTGGGTGGGGCAGAGATATGTGAGAGGAGATGAAGAATCGCTCGAAGAAGCTCTGCGGCCCAGCCATCTGTGACACTGACTGTCCGCTCTCAGGTTCTCACAGCCAACAAAACAGTCTAAGCAAACAAACTTGTGCTTTGAGATCTTGATGTCACTTACTGAAATACAAGCCCATTGTGTAAAATAATCATTCCAGCAAACGAGAAAAGAGTCTGCTGTCTATAAGATTAGCCTGGCTTTTTAAAACAACAATAATCAGCTTAGGTCTTTCTCTCTTTCCCACACAAAAGCACACACACACATGATCGTCCACCTCTCTCTCTCTCTCTCTCTCTCTCTCTCTCTCTCTCTCTCTCTCTCTGTCTCTGTCTCTCTGTCTCTCTCTCTCTGTCTCTCTGTCTCTCTGTCTCTCTGTCTCTCTCTTTCTGCTCATGCCTATACTTCCAGCACTCAGAAGGCTGAGGCAGAGGGACTGCTGTAAGTTTAAGGCAAATAACAAGACAGCTGGCCCATATAACAAAAATGAACAGATGTGGTGGTGCATGCCTGTAATCTTAGTACTCAGGAGATAAAAGTGGGGGGGGGGAGTCCAGGAGTTCAAGGCTATCCCTAGGGTACTCAGGGAGCTTGAAGCTATCCTGAGCTACATGAGACCCTGTAGCCCCACCTCAAAAAAAAAAAAAAGAAAAAAGAAAAAGAAAAGAAACTGAAACTTGTGCCTATGGATAAGACTGTAATTGTATAATTTCTTAATTGTGTCAGCAGCTAGAGAAACTGTAGACAAGTCTGAGACAGGAACATAGTACAGTGGAAAATCATTAGCCTTTAGCCGATACTGCTAAACACTTATGGTGTCTGCAGAAGACTTCGGTCTTTATAACCACTCTGTGAAGGACACTATTCCCTGTCCTACAGATCTAGAAACTGAGGCACATCGAGTTTATTCTTTTCCCAGGATCACACCATTATTAAGTGGTCATTAGTCCACCATAGGCTCCAGGGACCCAGGGGGCAAGCCCTTAAGTACCATCCTGCTGGCGTCTGGCACATCTGCCTTTGAGAACGAGTTCTAGAAGTTCCTTTACTTCAGGCTTTGGGCAAATGGCTGAGCCTCTTTCCAAATCAGTGAGGGTAACGATGTTCATCCATCCATGCATAGATTGAGGCAAACAATAAGTGTCATGCACCTGACACTCAGAAGGCGATCAGCCAGAAGTGGCCTTGCTTCCCTAGTGTCACCCACCACCAGGTCAGGGAGTGGCATTTTCCATCCTTGCCTACAGCAGGTTAGGCCAATCTTGTGATGTTAAAGGAAAAAAATTCTCGAGACAATGTTATTTCTCCCCTTCAACTTTTCTGTCTTTCATTTTAGGGCAAACCAAGACCAGAACTGACCTGGAAGAAGGATGGTCAGGAAATCGATAAGAATCAAATAAACATTCGCAACTCAGAGACCGACACCATCATATTCATCAGGAAGGCAGAGAGGAGCCACTCTGGCAAGTATGACCTGCGGGTCAAAGTGGACAAGTACGAGGAAAGCGCCTCCATCGACATTCAGATCGTAGGTGGGTTCTGTCAGAGCATTCTGTCAGAGGAGGATGGAGACCAACGTCTTGTCATTTGGGGGAGATAGGAGTGTTGGGCTTGTTCTACACAAGCATAGTTTTAAGATTTAAAAAGAATTGTCAGGTGGTGGCGTCCTCTGTGGGTTCTAGGCCAGCCTGGTCTATAGGACAGGTTCCAGGACAGCGAGTGTTATGTACAGAGACCCTGTATCTAAAAAAAAAAAGGCAAAAACATACATATAGACAAAAAGAAGAAAGAAAAGAATGATTAAAAAAGGAATAAGCAGTAAGAACAGTAAGACTTATTAGCATTTCAGAATAACTTCCACTGACTAAGTGTACGAATCATGGGAGACACGGGGACATGTGTGCAAGAGGGTTAGTGGACACTGCTGGTGAGCCCACCTGCATTGCACGGGGATATGTGTGCAAGAGGGTTGGCAGACACTGCTGGTGAGCCCGCCTGCATTGTTTTTTATGCAACCTCTCTTGCCCTCAACTTCTGATTCCCTTATCATAAAGTATGCTTTATGCTGAAAAAAGCATGGTAGCTTCTAGACAGTTTAAAATGTTTCTTTCCACACCCAAGACTCACCAATTGTAAAGTTTGAGTAGAATGAAGATTTTTTTCCCAATGTAAAGAAATGACGACAAAGCCCAACAGTTAAACACAGGAGTTGTACTCAAAGAAAGTCAATAAACAGGTTAATTCTATTTTTGTTCAGAATTAGGGAAGCGGCACGGGGACCCTCATACACAGAACCTGTCCCCAACTGCTTAAACTAGTCTGTATTTTTGCAATGTCAGTAAGTAAATTTAGGAGGCTTCTGAGATTGCTTAGGCAAAGAGCCTTTGCTACACAAGCATAAGGACCTGGGATTGGACCCCAGCACCCAGATAGAAAGCCAAATGTGGTCCCACATGGCCCATAATCCCAACACTGAGGTGAAAGGGGGTCCCAGGATTCATTGCTACCTGCTTGCTATGGCTTGCTAGCTGCTTGTCTAGCTAAAAATCAATAGTTCTGGGTTCAGGAACTACTCAAAGAAGTAGGGTGGAGAGAGAGAGCACATGGCACCCTCCTGTGGATTCCATATGTGTTCCTCTCCACCCCTTACATGTGCACACACCCACACACGTGCCACTCACACACATACACAGAAGAGTGGTGCCTGCCTGTAACCTCACACATAGAAGGCTAAGGCAGAAGGATGCTGAGTTTTACATCTAAAAGACCAAATAAGAAAAATCACTTCTCAGGGCTGAGAAACCTTGTTTCCAATCTTTTTTTTTTTTTTCTAATTTGTGGAGATTTGAGTTCTCTAACTAAAGCAGTGGTTCTCAACCTTCCTAATGCTGTGACCCTTTGGTACAGTTCCTCGGGTTGTGGTGACCCCCCCTCCCAACCATAAATATGTTACGTTGCTACTTCATAACTGTAATTTTGCTGTTATGAACCATGATGCAAATATATGATTTGCAAGATTTCTGATATGTGACCCCTGTGAAAGGGTCGTTTGGTCCCCCAAGGGGTTGCAACCCATAAGCTAAGAACTGCTGAACTTCCCCTAGGAAGCTGAGGCTTGCACTTCAAACCAAGCAGTTTTTCTCTCACCAAACCTCAAGGGGTTTTCTAAGCTAAGAGGCGTATGAGACCCTTGGGCCTATCTGGGATGAAGGAAGCACAGACCCCGTGGCTGAGACTGGAAGAGTGTGGCCTCCTACAACAGGAAAAAGCACATATTAAGATAGCCCTGTGCATGTGAACTCACAATGGCGGCGTGATTCCATCCTGCAGACCGCCCGGGCCCGCCCCAAGCTGTGACTATTGAAGACGTGTGGGGAGAGAATGTTGCTCTGACATGGACACCACCCAAGGACGATGGCAATGCGGCCATCACCGGGTACACCATCCAGAAGGCCGACAAGAAGAGCATGGTAAGTCTGTCTGGCTTCCGACTCAGCATCAAGAGCAAAGCCACGTCCGTCAGAGGTGATAGGAATGTCGTGAGGAGCCTCTGGGGAGCGTGGAAGAGAGATGTGACTGAGCCAGCATGGTGGGCTCTGAATTCATCCCCAGTGCTGCCACTTAAGTCGCATGTGCAGGATGAGTCCCTCAACCTCCTTGACCCCGTTTCCTTGTCTATAAAATGAAGGAGCAGATGCTTGTCTTGCTTGGTGATTTGGAGCTAAGATAGTCTAAAGTAGGGTGAAATGCAAACAGGATTCATTCTTCATTCAATAAATACTCACCATGCAATGCTTTCTCCTTGTGTAATAAACGTTCAACGGTATGGGCTTAAAACCAAAAATTTAAAAATGGATAAACACTAGCAAGAAAAGGAAAAGGAATTGTGAAAGTTACATCATGTTCTAAGTTTCTGAGAAGGAAACCAGCCTAATGTGCTCAAGATTCAAGCCCGTGGGAATCATGGCTTGTTATCTTTTATAGATGGGGAATTGGGCTCTTAAAGAATCGATGACTAGATGAGGACCAGAATTTTGTGCTAAATGCTAAATAAGAATCCATATGCTATACTTTCCTACTGGGCTACCTGTAAGAGACTGACTGAATGAAAGAATGTTAGGACACACATTGGAGTAGAATATTTTTCATTCTCATAGTAAAACAACATGGTGAGTAGTATAAAGTCTTTATGAATTACACATTTGGAGCTCAGCAAGAACTTAGGTCATGAACTCCATAGAAGGGGCCGAAGTGGAAAAGACAATCAAATTTCAAACTACTTCTTTCATAAACTGTTTTAGCATGGCCTTTTTCCTAAGTGTTACATGACAAAATAAGATTTGGCTTTTCAAGTGACATTTTTCATCTAAATTGAACAGCCAGAGAGGTAGGTAGGCCGATGGGCAGATAACCTTGCAAGAAGGACCTGAATGGCTCAGACTTCCTTTGCAATGAGGAGTTTTCTTGAGCCTTGGTCCTGATACTGTCAGAGAACCCAGAAGCATCAGAGTACCTATGGAGGGCCCCCTCTACAGCCTGTATATTATCTCAGACCATCATACATGTACAGAATTTTATTCTTAAGAGATCCAGACAAGTTCAACTGGACTAGGACTTCCTGCCAGTCCATGTGACTGAGACTGCCTGGTGACCCCTTACCTACCCCTGTGTCTCTATTGAATTTCAGCAGCAACAGAAACAGGGACTAGAAGGTGTTTATTCTACCAGTTCTTCAAGGGGACAAGCTCACCTGTCTCCTCATGCCTGCAGACTCTAGTCTTCACCAAATCCCCATAGCCTCCCACCTTTGCTGTTTCTATCATGTGGGCCCAAACACTCACTTTTTGTCCTCTTACTGTCTGTTAAGCACTGTTGTATCAGCTAAATAAAAAGAAAGTAAGAAAGATAACTGCTATTTTGGGATACTCATCATCAAGGCAAGATGAAAGACATAAAACCGAATGATAAGCCAATATTAAAAAGTTAGGACAAAGGCTTGCATAAAGTTTTTGGATTAAATGAACACAACTATGTTTCTTCTGGTATTAAATTACCCAAATGTACAGAAATGATGGACTTGAAAATTCTAAGGAAAATGCTTTTCCTTTAGAAAGTATGATTTTATTAGCCAATGTATTTTTTTGTTAGTAGTACAAAATATGTGTTGAATAGTGGGGTCTTCTACTGGCAACAAGGCAAGCTTTGAAATTATATGGGGAGGACAGAAATTTTAAAGGTGTCTCAACTCATCCATACACTTATCCATTAAATATTTAATACCTACTATGTGTATTGAATCTACTAGGTGCCGGGTAGTGTCACAGGCTCTGTGAGGTGGGAAGAGAGAGCAGACTTTATGTTAATGGTGCATCCACTGCAGCTGAGAGAAAAAACAAGGAAAGCGTGTGTGTGTGCACGCACGTGTGTGTTAGTTTAACAAGGATTACGGTCATAAGGTTAAGATTAAGGTCATAAAGCATGTCCAAAATGGTACAAATAGTACAGCAGGAGAAACAAGCAGAGACAAGGTGATAGCTAGAATAACCTAAATTAATAATCTAGACAAATTATTGGATACTATTTTCTCTAGTTATCTAGCTTTATCTATTATTTTTAACAATAAATTATCACTTGCATTCTATAATTATATTTTGTCCCACAAAGGACTAATAGATCAACAGATGAATAGATGCCAGGCATGATGCAGTTATGAAAAATATCAAGATGGTAGTAGTAGATGATATGAATCTAACATGTAAATGAAGACTAAATTGCAGACAACTATGGATAAGTTACATAGTGTTAAATATGTATTGTTATTGCTCTCAACATAAAAATTAGTGCTATTTTTTTCATTAACAACACATGTTTTTTATTCCAATCAGTAGGCGATTTTCATAAAATAATAACTATTTTCCCCCTCAGGAATGGTTCACTGTCATCGAGCATTACCACCGAACCAATGCCACCATTACTGAGCTGGTCATAGGGAACGAGTATTACTTCCGGGTCTTTGCTGAAAACATGTGTGGCCTCAGCGAGGATGCGACGATGACTAAGGAGAGCGCTGTGATTGCTAAGGATGGTGAGTTGGAGAAGGACTAACATTTGGAAACCTTGGTTGATTCAGTGGAAAAGAATGAAAGAGGAGATATGGAGAAAGGGAGTAAGAGAGAGCATGTGCTGGGAAATTATGGTAACAACATTCAAGTAAAAGTTCAATTCTAAAGGTAACTTTTCTCTAGAAGAATTACACTATTATTATAGATTTTACACATTCAAGCCATTCCAGTTTCTGGTCACTGGGTCTATACATGATGGATGTCATGCAGATAGGAAAATTTTCTTGGTTTTCTGTTTATTACATGAGACTTGCTCTAAAGAAATGAGGAGCTAAATTCTATCTTTTCATCCAGCTACTTTCTCTCAAGTCCTTCATTGTAACAGTTATATCAGGACACACTTCTGATCAAGAAACTCAGACAGCTACATTCATTCAGTACTAGATTTAGTGTCTCATAACCACGTTGGCTTCCATTTCAGATGTGACTGGCTATACATATGTCCCCATTAGACTAAATGCCATGTGGTATTTGCTTCTGATTGTCTGAGTTGAAGGAAGTTTTACTCAGAGTAAAGGATGCCATGAATAATACATCTCAAGCCAACTTCTATTTTTTAAACATCTTTTAATACTCATTTTTAAGGTAAAATCTACAAAAATCCAGTATATGAAGACTTTGACTTCACAGAGGCCCCCATGTTTACTCAGCCTTTGGTTAACACCTACGCCATCGCTGGTTACAATGCCACCCTGAACTGCAGCGTCCGAGGAAATCCTAAGGTACTGTGTTTTACCATAGGATTACTTAAAATAAGAATAGACTCCAAAACCTCTCTTTCAATTTGCCATGCTACAATGGCAAGGGAAAGGATAAACCAGCCTTCCAACTTCTATTTGTGTCTTTCTGGGGTGAGAGGAGTGAAGGAAGGCAGGATTTGTAGATAAATACAGTATATAAACTAGTAGGAACAAACGTGGTATATGGCTTTATTGACTACTGGATAGCTGCTAAATAAACAAAACCATGGGAAAAGAAGCAAGAGGTGAGATGGGATAGTTTTACCTGGACAAATTAGGTGGTAATGCTGATTCATCAAGAGATCTCTAACACACTTAACAGTCACATGGCAATTCAGGTGTTGTTTTTAACAAAATCTCAGACGTTCAATTTCATCAAAAGACCAAGGAATCAGATGCTCGGATGAAAGCCTGCCAGCTCAGAGAGGCTGAGAAAATACCCAGCCAGCCTTCCTCTTCAACCAACATCCCAGAAAACTCCTTCCTCTGCTGTTGTCTCAAAACTACTCTCTTCAAACTCCATGTCCTCCTGACTCCCCCTACCCTGTTTTTTTTCTTACTCATCCTATATTCACTTCCTGTCAGCTGCTTCTTTGCTCACCCCTTGACTAAGGGGAGCGCTGTGATTGACTAATCCTCTTTACAATATTCAAGCAGAAAGCTCCTCGGTTAAAGGTGTGTGCTAGGGCTGAGGCACACCACAACTAGAAACAGGTTTTTCCAGTAAACAACACAATCTCGGGGTTCCCAGTGCGATCAAATATCTGAAACTTTCAGGGCAGAATATAAAATGTGCTCTGCTAAGGGTGCAGAATGCTAAAACTGGGTGATCACACTCAATAGAGGAAACTTGGAATGTTCTCAAGCTTCAAGTTGGTAGTGTCTAAAGGTAACAATTAACAAATGCTGCCCATATGGTCTCTATCATTGAGTGACAGCAAGGAAAGTACCGTCAAAGTTTGAAAACTCTGATGGAATGAAACACAGTAACAGTGGCATGTGTCTTGGGCAGAATGGGGGAAGTCAAGAGCATGGAGGAAGGTGCTGACTTAAGCAGATGTGATGTGGGTACCTCTACTTGGGATAAGGAAATGTGAGCCCTGAGTTTAGAAGGAAGGCTCAGGCTGCTGCTGTCATCTGGGGAGTGTCAGCATGGAGGTGCTACACCCCAGCCTTCAGAGCTCAAGTTCTGGAAAGGGACAGCATTGAGGAAGGAAGGCAGTAAAAAGCCAAGGACCCAGATGTGAGCCTTGGGGGAATGTTCTCATTTGAAGGGTGGAAGGAGGGAGAGGACTAGGTAAAAGGGATAGCAAATGCTCTGACTCTGGGATCTGAGGCAAACAAAGCAATAAATGCAGAGTAGGAGAGAGCATGCCAAGGGTGAGCATGTTTACTGAGGGAAGGAGGAAGTAGGAAGTGGGGGAGTAGACCAAGGGTCAAGGAGCACAGAGCCACCTTCCTGGGTGACTTTGCTGATCTTGTATTATGCAGTTAGAGCAGATCTCCTACCACTAGATGAGTACCGCTGTGATATGGTGTGACAGCATATGTTTGCAGCCTCCAAAGAACTAGAAACTCTGGGGGAACGAGGAGATCATGGCACCATTGGGAATTCTCAGAAAAGTACCCAGTGTATACACTCTCTGCTATGAATTTATATCACAAACCTGTAGATCAATTTTTAAGATCTGGAAATAACTGATGAAGAACATGTATAGTCAAGTCACACAATGTGATTTGATGTACATACTGTGTAATGATTCTCACAATCAAACTGGCACATCCACAACCACACAGGCAAGACGTCAGAGGCTTAGAACTCATTTGTCTTACAATTGAACATTTTGTGCCCAACTAGATTTATCTGGAATGGGACTTAACCCATCTGGGAAGATTGTCCTTGAGCTATCCTCTGCACAGATCCAGCTTCCTTCTTTAGAACTTCCCCATTTGCTTTCTCGATGATGGGATAGAATTTAATTTGAGACAGACAAAACCAAGTAGCTGCCTACATTTCTTAAATGCCCTTTCTTTCTAATCCATGCTTTAAAATCCCATTACTGGGTCAGAGGGACTCTCAATATGCTACACACAAACACACTTTGACTTGAGTTTCTTCAATCTGGACCAGCCCAAAATCACCTGGATGAAAAACAAAGTAGCTATTGTGGATGACCCAAGATACAGGATGTTGAGCAACCAAGGAGTCTGTACCCTGGAGATCCGCAAGCCCAGTCCCTATGATGGAGGCACTTACTGCTGCAAAGCAGTCAACGACCTGGGGACAGTGGAGATTGAATGCAAACTGGAGGTGAAAGGTACGTCACCCAAGAGCTCATCTGTAGGCTTACTTTAAGGATGTGGCTTAAAGAAGCTCTCAATGCAAAATCCCAATTACGTGGCAGGGTGTTGTGACTAGGCAGAATCAATGGGGAAGGGGCATTCATGATGTTTGTTAAGATACTTGAATGTTTAGGTTAGCTTGTTTTAGTACTTTTTAAAATTCTTGTTAATTAAAGGTATATTAATTTCAGAGAGATGTGGGTGGACAGCATGGTGAGAATGAAGGAAGTAGAAACAGTGTTGCTTCGGTGACATAGTCCATTTATAATGGAAGCCTTAGTGTAAGAGCTTATCTACTGAACCTGCAGTTAAGCACATCACTGTTTTTAGTAATCTGTGAAGCTCATACATGCGAATATGTGTGTATATTCATACGTATGCATGTAGTGTTATTTAGTGTTTGACACGTGTAGGATACAGCACATTATAACATTATGAAAGAACTTTTCTTTATAGGCTTATATTCCATTTAAGAAATGTCAAAACTAATATAAACCAAGAAAAACACATACGGATTCATATAGAAGAAAAATCTTAGCATAAATTGTCATCTTAAAGACATTCTTACTAATTGACAATGGTTTATTCTAAAGTTTTTCTTAGCAACCAAAACCTACTTTGAGATACCATACAACATGACCCTAACAAATTTCTCTCATTATTTTATTTCTATCCTCTGATAACCAAAATGTTTTATTTTCCCTACCTGTCTATGATGAAACAATTAGAACCAAAGAGTAAAACTGTTGGCTTTGTAAATATGCATTTTATAGTCATGATAAATGTCTAAGGTATTTTTTTAAAAACTTTTTCTCCTAAGTTTACTATAGAGTATAAGAAACTTCTTGCACAATAACATGTTCTTACAACTTTTCTTTCTCTTATGATTTTTGTCAGTCCTCAGGTATATGGTAATTTAGAATGGAGTGATAAGAGAAATATTTCTATGTCATAAACATATATTTATAATATTCACAAAAATTCTACAAGTTACTTGTAAACCTTACAGGTTTAATCACTATACTTAACTTTAAGTGATGATTTAGGCCACACTTAAAACTCATCAGGTTTCTAACCTTACTGTTCCAAGGTATTATTGATAAATTTATAACATCATCCAAAAAGCAAAATTAAAAATATGTCATATAGTCATGCCTTAAAAATAACGAAATGTTAAGGGCATAAAATGATAATTTCATATATGGTTCAATATTTGGAGCCTTCTACACAAACAAGTGATATTATGCATGTAAATATTATAGTTTTGGGTAATTTTATAGTAAATTGAATAAAAACTGAATTTAATAATGAGGAAATGCATTCTTTTGCAAATAAATCATGATAAGGTATGAACTGTGATTTCTCTCGATACAAGGTGTTGGTTCTAAAAAATAAAGCTGAGACTTGATCATCAGATTGTTATTGGATAAGGGTTACTTGAATGAGCTAAGCTATTTATTAAAAGGTAAGACTGTCAACTGAGAATAAATAAATACAGTACAAATATTCTAATTCTGCAGTGATATATCAAGGAGTAAATACCCCTGGACAGCCAGTCTCCCTGGAGGGGCAGCAACAGGTTCAAAAAGTTCATATCCCACTGGATATTTCGATTTTCCGTTCCATTCCTCTTACATGAAAACGCATTTTGCATGTAAAGCTTGAGTTTTTTTTGGTTTGCTTTTCATTGTATTTTTTAGAAGCTCATGGCATACAATGTTTATGCCATGAACGAGGAAGGCAAATTATCCAAGGACATTAATTAATTAATGTAGAACCAATACCTTTCACCAGGCCAGCTGTCCCCATAAACAAAGTCAGAAAGTGGCACCTTCATTTTACATATGGCTATCTAAAAACAGGGGCATTTACCTAATGTCTTCATCTTTCAAGTGTGTAAAGATAGGTTGGCCCTTGAAGACAGTTTCCAGCATAGGGAATTCATATTTGTGGTGGAATCCAGAAACTGATCACTTCCTACTTGCTAAATTGTAAAGAGGACAATGTTCCCTGCACTTTTAATGGAAGACAACAAAGGCAGGTGTAACATTCAGAAACTCTCATATATAACATTTTCTCATTGTAAGTCCACTGGCACAATATCTAACCTACTGGACAGTTTGGATATCTTTGTGGTATCCAAATTATTTCATATGCTTATGAACTTAAGAGGAAGGAAAAGTCTAGGATCTTATGAAAAACTGAATTATATATAAAAAGTCCTTTTGTATGGGTATGACCCGGTCTCACTTGGAAGAGCTAATTAAGAGTTCTTTGGGGCTAGATTAAACAACCTGAATTAAACTCTGATGTAGATCTATGCTGAGTTTTCAGTATCTGCTTTCTGAATTTAGAGGTAATGCCAGCACGAAAGAGAAAATAAAATACCAGAATTCTTCCTTTGAAGTGTTGTAGGTTATAGCACAGTCTCTGCAGCTTGAGTTTAAGATTTTAAGACCAGTTACATATAATCAATCCCAACAGAATATTATAAAATGTACTAGCTTAATATTTACACTTGATAATTTTGCCTTTTGGAATTTCAACATATATATATGAACACTAACATTTTTCAATATTGTCTATGTTTTTCTTTTGTTGAAAAACACGATATATATATGTTGTAGGGTATTTTTTTAAGCTAACAGTTTGGAAGCTCTTACCATATTCACTAGTCAGATTAGCTTTGCCACCTCCTCTAGCAAAGTGGTTATGCATATTATTAATTTTTATGTATTAATGATCCTCTTGAAGTGACACCCTTCACTCTATTTTTCCTTTGCCATTCACCCGACTAAGGATTAATGAAATCACCTCATCATAATCGTGACTATAATTTCACCTCCAACATATACGCAACTTTGATGTTACACTTTATTAATGCTTACCACTTCTTTTTCTTTCTCTCTCTCCTCCTTAGTTGTAGCACAGTAAGGATTTTTGAATGTATATTGTCACCTAAGGTAAGCTTTCATATGGCTTTAGCATATGAAGCTTATGAATGTCATAAGCCATACCAAGCCTGTGGAGTATGGCATGATTTTCATTACATAATCCAATGAAAATAGAACCCACTAACTCTGTAGTTCTAATGTGTATTTCTGGATCTTGAAATTAACGTCTAATACTGGTCCTTCACAACCATTTCTTCTTGACATGCAGCAAGTTGTTGGATGGGGTAGAAGCATGAATCAAGGATTTGATGTAGATGAAATGAATGGCAGCCATGCATTCTGAATTCTTTGCATCAAGGAATGGACATGTATATAAGTGGCATCATTTCTACCAATATGTGACGTGGTTGGTTGTTTTCTTTTTTGTTAAGAAGAATGAGTTTCTCAAATTTGCATTAAAGAAGTTTTAAGATTGCTCCAACAGCATGCTGGTTTTGTTTGGTCATGAATTTTTTAGCAAGAAGTGAAGCATTCACTGAAGGGTAGTACAGGCTTCTGGTTTTGTGGGTTTTCTCGTGAATGATATTTTGTTGTTTTTTTAATATAATGGAAATTCAGAAGGTAGGTATGAAATATTAGTTGGCATTTCTCTCAGTTGCAGAAGGTATTAGCTCTAGTTTTTGTACAGTTTATAAATGGTCAGTTTCAAAGCCAATATTTTTCTTCTCCAATGTGCTTGAATCAGACTATTCTGTGCTTAATTAAAAAAAAACATTAAGGAATTGGGAAGTGGCTCTCCTGATGACCCACAGCTGTTCAGTCAGAAGCGTTACATCATTTGGGGACCTCTCTAAGAGCAGTGCATTTTCAAACCACTAGGAATTCAAATCAAGACTGAGCAATGGTAGGGGGATAAATTACTATGGCTCTGCCAGGAACTTGATTTTTTTTCCAGTCAGGATGCGAACACTTTAATTACTAAACTATGAGAACCAGGAGAAGATTTCAAGTAGGGACTGAGTGAGTCTTTACAGCTAATAAGAACAAAATCGACCCCTTTGCAGGCAGCTAGCCCAGGAGTGTTCTCTCGTGGTTTCGTGTGTTTTTAACTGCCCCTTTCCATCTTGTCCTCTCTAGGTGGGCTGTCTTTCTGCAGGCTCCTCCTGCAAGGTGTGCCTCCAAACATAATTGATTCATATTTGCGAGACTTACAATCAAGCAATCCTGAGGAATACTGAGGGCTGGGCACTGCCTCTAGAAACAACACTGCTTTGAAATTTGATTGAAAAAAGAAAGCACTTTCTGGTTTTTCTCCCAGGCCCCCAAGCGTGGTCATTTTCTCTCTTCCTTACCTTGAAGAAAAAAATTGTTTGCACAGATTGCTTAATTAAAAATAGCGAACAAAATCTCTTTTGCAGTCATACTTTGTTCACTATATCCTTGCTTGGTTTGCTGTACTTTCCTAAAAAGTCAACTGTAGAAGAAGGGAAAGCCATTATCTCGGTTTATCTTACTATCTTGAAATGCTTTTCTTTCCCAGGGTAAAAATCACAACCTAACACACTATCGTAGAATCCTGAACCCCATCTTTCTTGCCTGACTTTTCATGGGGCTCAGACTGATGGCAAGCCTCCTGCCACCACCCCTGAGTACTGAGGTCACAGGTGTGAAACACCAAACTTGGCTTTAATAAATTTTTCTAAATCTAGTTTTCTAAATCAAACTTGTTTGGTTCACACAGGCCAACTTGACACAAGGATCTATGGCCTCATTTTTAATAAAAGGTATCTTAACTTTACCTTTCAGACATCTTTTCCTATAAAAAAGAAAGAAAATGTATCTAGTAAGTGGCACAATTGCATTACAATTACATTACGAAAATCAATTTGAAATGACACAGTATTTATACTGGGGAGTTGTATTCTCTGATAGAGTCAAAAGGCAAAAGACTTGGGGTCAGGATGCTACCAAACTTGGGTCTGATTCCCTTAATGCCCCAGGAGGACCTCCTAGGCCTGTCCCCCATATTTCCTCAAACAGCCCGTCCTAGTTAATCATTTTAAGGAACCTAGCTGTTGATAAATGCTTATATAGCAATTCCCGAATCTTGTTAGTCTTCTTCACTCTTCCTGAGTTTCAGTGAAAGGAGCAGAAGTGCACCGTCCCACACCTTCATTGTTTGGTCTCCCAACACCTCCCCACACACCTGTTTTTTGTCCCCACAAAGGCTGAGTAAATTGTTGCTTGCGGATGTCACCACAGCATCCTGTAATGACATTTTAAAGCGTTCCCTCCTGTCCCTTCCACATTGCAGTGGGAAGAGTGAGCGTTGTCACCTGCGCTCACCACGGCAAGGATGAATGGTCTAGGGGGCTGCAGTGCACCTGGACACTTCAAGAGAAAACTGTTTTATGGTCAGACTGTGATGGTTCCCTCTTTCTGTTCTGATTGCTTGGTGATGTTGCCTTCCTGGGTATTAATGTTTGTTACGAGTCTTGCTCCTATACCCCCAATCACTCCAAAATAATAATTGTCTCTCAGTCCCATAGGCTCCATAGGGTGTTTCTGGACTCCTTGTGGGTACCAAAATTTGCAGGTGTTCAAGTTTTCTATATTCAAAATGCCATAGTATTCACATTAATCCACATGCTTCTCCCTGTATACTTCAAATTACCTCTGGATTTCTACAACATGAAATAAGCAAAAATATTGTGCAAATGGCAAGTAAATAGTTGCTACACTATTGTGTAGGGAATTACGTCAAGGGGAAAAAAGCCCCCCGCCCCGCAATGTTCAACACAAACACAATTTTCCTCTAAACATTTTCACCATTCTGGCATTTGAATCAGGGACATGAAGAGATGACTATCATAATGTACAGTCCTTATGCGAGCATCTGTGTTAATTAGTGCCATGCGTCTGGGGTCATTCAGAGATGCACCAGTCTGACCATGAACACATTTTAAAGAAGCAGAGGCTTTTGTTTATGTACAGCTCTACATCCAGTGCCCAGCCCCCTCAGCCAGGCGCTTTTTAAGGCAAAGAACAAAGTTACATTCTTCTTGTGCAAAGCAAGCCTTCCTTCACAGAAGCAGAAACAGCAGTTTGTTAAAGTTGTACAAGACCGGTCAACGACAAAAATCAACCCTTAGCAGCCCTTAACATCTGGAAGTCCAATTTTGCTGTGTAGTTGTCTTAAGCACAGAAACCTTAAACCTATAATCATAAAGCTAGCCATCAACATAATGTTTGCCACCACATTCTGCTACCCTGGGCCAAATCCTTGACTCCGTGGTGGGCACCTGTTCATCTAGCTTAGCAATACGTTTTACTTTCCTGATAGAGGCAGATCTCGGGTTATTCAGAGTCCTGGGTTTCTGAAGTTAATGTCAGTCATTACTGTACCAGTGGTACCTAGAGTGGCCCCTGCTGTCCCTAACCCAAGCATTATATGAGGGTTATGAGGGGACAGATTGTGCAATTCCCCTTCACATGGAAGCTAGAAGGGCCTGGGTACATGCATACCTGTTTTTTCTCCCTACTGGACTGTTATAAACATGCATCCAGGAGAATAGGGTTAACAAGATACAGAATCCTGGAACTCACGCATCTTCCAAATAGGCAAGCAAGGGTGCAACCTGCCAGTACACGCAAATCAAACAGTTTCAACTGGGAAGTACAGGAAAGAGCGTCCACCCGATGAAGTGGGAGCTGGGAGACATTCATGGCAAGTTTGAGTTGATCTTCGGGGGAACTAGACATATATCCTATGAAAGTATGGGGCGGGGGATAGCCAGATAAAGCAACCCTATTAGTCTACAACCCATATTAGCCATGTCTTTAGTGGATCATCGCAAGCCTCGGTGATAGTTCATTTTTCTGCAGCCGGGTTGTTGCTCCAGGATGCGCCTGACCTGGGAGTGATGTGGACGCCATCTGCCTTGACAGCGGTGGGGGTGGTCAGGGTAATAAGGTGCAGTCCTTTCCAGTGCGGTCCCAGCTTCCTTGAGACGTAACATTCTCTTCCGTAACTGCTCCTCACCTGAGATTAGCGTCTGCTCCAGGCCTGTGGAGGCTGGAATGCTCGTCAATGGCAAGGAGGGAGCTAGGCAGTGGAAGCATCTGGTTAGCTAACCCAGCTGAAGAGACAAGGAGCAACCGCATCACCTAGGTTTACGTCAGCTGTCAGCAAGTTTACAAAAAGAGATAAGAGTTTTAGATATATTAGCATTACCACTGTTTGCTATCTGTACATAAATCCAAATTGCCAAAAAAAAAACAAAAAAAGCAGTAGACCCACACCTTTGAGTCATAGTGAAAGCGCTGGAACCCAAAAAATGACACTTTCCTCTGTCCAGAGGGCTGGATATATAGACTGGACAAAAACATTTTTAGCACAATGAGAAGCACCTTTTAGTCTATACCTAGAAAACAACCAAAGGAAGTTTTAAAATTTAGCTTGTGACTGTAGTAGTCCTTTACCAGAGCCAGATTAATAGATTATCAGAACGCTATCGATTAATATGTTAACACTCTGAACCTTTGAAGTCTTAACATCATGTATCGTCTCTAGGTTTTATTATTTTTTAATTGTTTTCTCATGCCCTTACGACTTGTATACATCTCAAGCCTTTTCCATTCAGTCATTTACTGTGAGACACGAGTGGCGGAATGCTGAGAACAGCCAGTGCCAAGCAAGTTCTTTTCACTAGAGGAGTGGTAAAAAGTTCCATTGAAACCTGTTTTGTAAGTTTGCCTTTCTCACCTGGAGACCTAGTAGCTCCAGCAAAAGCAAGTCAAATAGGAAATGCAGGCAGCTGTTGCTAAACTGACAAAGCTACAGTTAGCCATCAACACCATCAGAAATCTGAGAAGGAAAATTTGAGCAGGAAGTATAAGCCCAATGGTCTCTCTATCAATGAATGACAGAGACTTTCCAGCTACCTGGATGGTTACCCTATTACCCCAGTCTCCTTCTGGTCAATCTCAGTAATATCAATGAAGACAGAATGACTTCTGCCCCCCGTGGTCTTACAGGACAGCATTAACTCTTTGACTGCCACACAGTGCAGCATCAGCCTTTGGCTAGCAGACCCAAAAGATCCAAGACACTTCACTGTGGGTGAGGAGCCTGAGAGATTGGCCTGCTTGGTAAGGCAGAGACGGGCAGTCGATTCTTGGTGTCCCACTCGTCCACAGCCTCGGCAGGGTCCTGGAGGTGGGTGAGCATGGGGCAGTTTTTCCCTGGGGTTGCTGTTACCACAATCCAGGCAGAGTGGTCTTCTTTGGAGGACCTTAGGGCTGCCACTACAAACAGGCACTTTGTCTACCATGGGGAGCCTTTTTCATTAAACACCATATTCAGAAGATCTCTGGACAGTCTTTGAGGGTCATCTATTAAATTTGTCTGACTTTAAATAAACTTCACTTGTTTTAGGCATAACCTTGAAAACATAGATAGAAGGTTAAGTAAAGCTTTCTCCTGACTACAAACCACATTTGTTCTAGGCATGACTATAAGCATAGTTCTGAGCATATTAAAGGATTTGATCATTTGTAATGTGACTGTTAAAATGCATGTCCTGACTATAACCTTAAAAATTGCAAGTCTTGAATTGAAGCTCTTTTAGTACCAAAATAAAACTTTAAATCGTAAATGCAGCCCATAGAGAGACTGAGAATTTTATAAAACCACACATATAGTCCCAGAGAGATTGGGGTCTTAACTTTCATAGTGCACATTACAGAATATCACAGTTTCTTGTATGTCTGAGTTTATCTACATAGCTAAAGCTTAACAAAGTTAGATACATTTTCAAGCCAGTTTCTAGTAGCCTGAATAGAGCTTAGGTATGGACAGATATTCCCACAGGCTCTTTGCCAAACTGAGTAGGCCCCTGTCTTGCTACATCATAAAATAGGAAATATCAAATCTTGATGCTCTAACTCTTTAGCTTCTTATCTCCTTCCCCATATTTAAAATTTGTCTTCTATCCCTTTCCATTCAGCTTCACCTTGTTGCTCGAACTTCTGTCACTTTTTATCTAGAACAATACAGATCTCTGCCATCTCAGTCTGTCCAAACCATGACAGACCATGACACCAAACCCCTGTTGGTCTTAAAAGTTTTATTTTTAGTCAGAAGACCCACTAGGGATGGCAGACCCTGATAGTGCCTGTCAGGTTGGTATCAAAATGTGACCAGAGTCAAGCAGCCCTGCAGCAGGAGGTGGCCCGGGCTGTTTCCTGTTTTGTTTTGTTGAGGCAGCTTCCTTTCCAGAGCTCTCCTACTTGGTTCTGTTTCTGCAGCATTTTCTGTCTTAACCCTTTTAAACAGACTTCTCAGACCCACTCTCCTCAGGGTCCTGAGCTCGTGCATTTCTAGCTTTCCCATTAGTGCCACAAACTCGTACTACAGAAAAACTAGATCCTTACCTATACCTCAGGAGGCTTTCTGATGCCTCTTTTCCCACAATCTAAGCAATGGTAACCTGCTGGCAGCTCCTTCCAAACACTGGCCCTGTCCGATTTCTCCACTTCCAATACTCTAGGGAGTCAAGGCTGGGGAGAAAAAAGGTGGATTGGGTTGAATGCCTAAAACTCTCACAAACCCCCAAATGTATGTCTGTCAGAGATTCACCATTGCGACCATGATTTTTGTTGTTTTGGTTTTTCTAGAAAAGGTTTCTTGGCATAGCCCTTGCTGGCCTGGCACTCACACTTTGACCAGGCTGGCCTCAGACTCCGAGATCCACCTGCCTCTGCTTTCCAGGTGCTGGGATTAACAGGCCGGCACCAACGCCATGAATAAATTTAACAAAGAAGGTTTTTATACAGACACCCGGTCTGTATAACCTTGGGATTCCAGAATCCAGTGCCCAGCCTCCTCAGTCAGGGCCTTTTCAAGCAAAGAACACAAAGTTACATTCTGTCTACCACAAGCAGGTCATCTTGTGCAAAGCATGCTATTGCTCACAGAAGCAGAACAGCAGTTTAGTTAAAGTTGTACAAGACCGCCCGCCCGCGTGATTACAAAAATCAACCCTTAACAGCCCTTAGCATTTTGGAAATCCAATTTTGCTAAAGCACAGAAATTTTAAACTTTTAATCATACAGCTAACCATCAATATAACGTTAGCCCTCACTTTAGGAAAGCTGTCTCAACATCAATGACTAAAATAGTTTGCGCAAAGGAAGTCTAGCTCATTTATAAACACATGAAGACTAGAATGCACCAAATAGGTGACAGTGTAGCAAAGCCCAGCAGCGTCTCTGGTGCCGGCTCACCACAGTAGCTGAGCTGGCTGCTTCCTGCTAACACTGGCTGACAAATTTTGCTGAGTCACCCACGGTCAAGTCTGTGCACAGTTTAGAAGTGACTGCAAAACTTTCTGCCAGAGTTTCCTTCCCCGCTCATGACCTAGCCTTCTTAATTATGTCTTATACTCAATAATGTTATTCTCTATATATGATATTCCCTCACACAAACAGACTTACACACTGCAAAGTTTCACACAAGAAAAAGGCTACTTTGAAACTCTGAAGAGAAAAACAAAAAAACAACAAAAAACGTCAGAAACTGCCATCAGTTTTTCTATAACGTCATTGTAATTAAATGTCACTCCATTAGAGAAAATTGTGTGTCACAGGTGAAAGGTTCAGGCATCATGCTGGCCTGCCCCTGTTACCTGGCAGAATGCACTCAGGCAGTCCTCTGGCCAGCCCAGAGTTCCTGCTCGCAGGTAAAAGGACCCCTCTAAAATACAGACCCCTGCCCACTTCCGCTCTCTTACCTCACTCTTCTCTCTTGCTCGTCTCTCTTTTCTCTCTTCTCTCTCACTTCTCTTACCTCTCTCCCTTCATCTCTCTTCTCGCCCCTCGCACTCCCCGCCCTATAATAAACTCTATGGTTAATGTATTTCTTGGTCATCTTGCACCTTCTAACTTAAACAAAATAACAGGAATTTACCAAATTTGGGGGTGGGGTGGGGAAATTCATTTAAAAATTTGAAAGATCCATTAGTAAGTACGCCAGGGATAAATACTGATCTACCACCGGAGGCCCCAAAGATTGACGAGGCCTCCTCGCTGACACCCACATTCAGGGGGTCTGGATCAGTCCCATGCTGGCCTCTCGGCCATCAGTCTGGGGTCCAATGAACGTCCCCTTGCTCAGGTCAGCTGTTTCTGTGGGTTTCTCCAGCCCGGGCTTGACCCCTTTGCTCATCATTCCTCCTTCTATGCAACTGGGTTCCAGGAGTTCAGTTCAGACTTTGGGAGCCCATTCCACATGGAGGGATGCTCTCTCAGCCTGGACACATGGGGGAGGGCCTAGGTCCTGACCTGGATCACATGACAGACTTTGTAGATTCCTCATGGAGGGCCCCACCCTCCCTGGGGAGCAGAGGGGAATGGGATGGTGGGGTTGACAGGTGAAGCAAGCTTCTTTCTAACTTAAATAAATAAAATCGAAAGACCACACTTATTTATTTTAAAAGAAAGCCTAATAAATGTCGTCTAAATTAATATGGAAGTAGCAAAATGCCCATTAGATCTAAGGAATGTTGAGATAAGATACCATGTTCTTATTCATGTTGAACTCGGAAACAATGCTAGTTCAACAAATGACTTATTGAGTGCCTGTCTGCTCTGTGCGATGATAAAAATTCAGCTCGGAACTCAGGAACTTACGTTCATATAAGCAGGAAAGGTATGGAGTGAATGCATGGATTCAAAGTCAGATAATGCAATTTAATATTCATTAGAATCCCTGTACAGGACAGGATATATTACTTTATTTTTCTATATCAAATGTGATCCTGAGCTCCCTAGCAACTAGGGAGCCTGAAAAACCTTCTGCCCTGTGTGGAGATTGTAATAATAAAGCATTGGAAAAGGAACTTTTGGCCAAGGTGAGCTGCAAAGGGGTCACGCCAGGTGTGACAGGCCTAAGCAAGAGGGTGATTGGGAGAGGGAGGAGAGAGTGGAAGGGTGTCTCAGAGAAGGGACTCGCAAGTGGCAGACAGACAGACTGGGAGACAGAAAACGAAGAAAGGGATGGAACAAGACAGAGACACTGAGAGACAGAAAAGGAACAGTCAGAGAGGACAGGAGATAGAGCAAGACTGAGACAGAGATCCCTGTGGCCTGGACCTTAACCGGGGCCACATGTCGCTACCAACTCTATGCAAATGTGCAGCACCAGGGGTGGCTGGTGAAGCAGCTGTGGCTGCAGGTTGGGGGTGGAGAGCCAAATTTTCAACAGAGATAAAGCCAAGGGTTCCCTGGTCAACTGTGCTCTTTCCCGGTTGCTGGGAAAGAGTGAAGGAAAGGCCGCTGGCCTTCAGGGTACACTGGTGAGTGCATGCTTTATTCAAAAACAGATGATTCTAACACGTGTGGGACTCAGCTATTTGACTTCCAAGGCTAAAGTTTACCTGGTGTATTAGGATGCCCAGAGAAACAGAACCAATATGAGGCAGATGATTAGATCAATTAGATAGATTAGTGATTGAATTCTAGGAAAGAGTGAGTCTAAAGGTATTGGTCATGAAATATGGAGACTGGGCACCCATTGTATTCTGTTCAGAAGGTAAACATGGGGAAAAGTCGATAGTATAGTTGAAAGCCTAAGAATCAGAACTCTGATGTTATAAATTGCATCCTGGGTTGGAAAGCTTGAGAGCTAGGAGTGCCTAGAGCTCTAAGTTTACTGGATAATCGAGAAGGCTTACTGCTTTGTTCAGCTCATCCATTCAAATACTAAGACTTTTAAAAACATTATTTTTAGTTTTTTAAGAAAGGGTTTCTCTCTGTAGCCTTGGCTGTTTGTAGAGCAAGCTGGCCTTGAACTCACAGAAATCTGCATACCTCTGCCTTCTGAGTGCTGGGATTAAAGGTGTGCACCACCACTGCCTGACTCTAAGAGCTTTTAAAACCACTAGAAGTGTTGTCTAAGCATCTATGTGGCATTCTGCTGCCAATCCCATTACTACATAAAATTTAACTGCCACAGAATTTCACATGCTAAGTTTTTGTGTTCTTTGTGAAAGCTTTCCACAGTTCTACTGCTCAAATTTGGCAGAATTTGGCAGAAAGGACCTCAGTATTTCCTAGCATTTCACTCTGGGATTCTCAGATCATAGCTTCCTCCACAAGTCAAGGAGCCCTCGGATTCATGCAGACATTTCTGCTTGCTGCATTCCTCCTGCCCCTATCCCCACTTCCTACACACTGTCTCCAGGTCTATAAAAATCTATCTCTGGGGTCTTTTTTCTGGATCCAGATTCCCACAGAAGTACCTCATAGCCAATACATGCACATCAAGGCCAAAGGCCTGATCTACAGTCACCTGTGTGCCCGGAAGTCCGGGAAACAGATGTGACTAGAGTTTGGCCACGAGGCTAGGGTTCCTAGGACCCCAATGAGTGTGCCTACTTCTATTAGTTGTCTGAAAGAAACTACCCTTATTTTTGTGGACCCAATTAATCACTATTCTTGCATCAGAGATTTAGGTTACTGCTACATGGACTTATGAAGTCCTTTGTAATTAAATGTTGAAAAAGCTTAGACGGGAGAAACAAATCCATTAGTGAGACAACCTGTTATCCTGATTCTATAGCTTGGCATTGCTCTCTTAAAGTCACTTGGTGATCTCCCTGTGTTCCCAGGTGCGCTGGCCTCAGCAATGTCTGAAGGAGGTTACAAGGGGAAAACACCAGGACAGAAGTAGAATGAGGATTCAAAGGTGGCCTGGAGCATTGGATGACTCAAATATGTCACTAAGGGGACAGTCTCCCACTCCTATGGCACATTCGGCATATCTACTTTTTCTAAGTAATAGGGATCTTACCTCTGATAGGACCTGTTACCTCCCCAAGACAAAGTGTTCACTCCTATTTTTCTTGTTCCTTCAACTCATTCCAATTTTGGGGCCCAGGAAACATTAAAAGACATTACATACTAAATTATACATGCTGGCTTAAAATTTTAAAGTTTAAAATTTGTTTATTCAGTTTAATTTTTTTAAGAATCAGCAGAATTCATCCACAGGACTGTGAAAAGGGAAGGAGCCACCATTCCTAAATTGTAAGGCAATCTTCTTCAAGAATTATGACAAAGGGTCATTGGAACGGAGCCGTGTTTCAAAATAAAACATCATGTGGCCATCTGGAAGATTCCAGGGAGGAAGGAGCCAAGAAAGTGTCCCCTGCAGGCTACAGGATGAAGTGCCTTGTGCCTTTTCCAGCCTGTTACCTGGATGTCCACCGGGGCCACTCAGAATTCAGCTCCTATTCCTGCACTGGGAGGAGCCATTGGAAGAAGACAGTTGGGGTGACAGTGGGCTGCTATGAGGAGAACCTGATAGTGGGGGGCTGTTTTCAAGCTCTTCCTAGCAGCTGGTACCCAGAGTGCCACAAACGTCCCCTCATCAGACAGGGTCCATGGGTCACATGAGCTTTCCTGAGGCTTTCAGGTCCTCCTAGTGACAGACAGACACCAACTGTGGCCAAAGTCAGCCCTTAATAATCACTCCTTTAAGGATTTAAGCACCAAGAGGT